ATGAATGTATCAATGCATGTTTATGTTTGTGCAAATTTTGTATTCGTAAACAGATGTAATCAAACTAACACACACACAGTGAATATATGTGCGTACATCTTTCACACGTGCACCAAAATTAAATCAAGATTATAATAACGATTTTAAAAAGGAAATAAATTATAGTTCGGTATTTTTCTGAACCAGTAACGCTATCATACGCATATATCGATCTAATACGGACTTTTCTGCCTCAAACGATACATTAGCAGTCTTGCGTCTCGTCTGCGGAATCACGTACCTTAAATTTTTGAACATTTTTATCGGCATATTTCAAATATTTTTTTGTGACGGAGTGCGGACGCATTTTAGTAGTTATAAAATATCAAAAATCAATACACTTGCCGACTCTATCGATAATTGAAAACGCCTTGTATGATTACATTATATAAAACATGCATGTTGAAATTGTTTAACAGTTGGGTTTAATTCAAAAATGAACAAGGAAATACATCGTGCTACACTTCAAATCATATTTCAATTCAACACTTAGTAATAAAACTTCCTTCAAAAGCTTAATACTTTATATGATAAGATAGGTTTATGTAAATTTGCATGAATTGCTATTCTTTGCTTCTAATTATTGTACTTTCATTTTCTTCCTGCTTTATTTGTTTTGTTTCAAATATAAAAATCTGGCCAGACCGATCTAGGCTGATTTAACGTTTCAAACTATATATATCTTATATCTTGTTTAGCCAATAATCGAAACGAAAACAAAACCATACATTGAATCATTTTCTAACTTTGCAATGTTGGCATTCAACTTTGCTTATTGGGTCCTATCGTCAATCGATTCAGCATTATTCCGTCGATATTTAACGCAAACACATTTTGCAAAATTGCGGCGATGCATATGGCGTCGACGTGGTGAAAGGACTTTTCATGAATGAATTTATTTTACGAAGGTTGCAGATAAAAGGATAATATATAAAATATTACCATATCTTTACTTTTAATATCTCTTGCGTGTGCTCTCAGTTGACACGGACTTATAGCAAATCGTTAAGTACAGTTGTTATTTGGAATAGGACCGACAAGGTATATGATATACTTAACGGCTTGAATGTGAGCGATAAGATTCGTGTATCAATAGCCATAGCTTGGAAACTGTTGGATCAAACTTTTCGTCCTTTTGCACCAGGCCCTTATCACCGACATTTGAACTTTGTCAATAATATCCAACAAAATAATACACCGGCGCATCTTGTCACTAGAACTAGTAAATAAACACTGGAACACTCAAATAAACAACCAAGAAATAATCTTGGAGTGAAAGACCAAGTGTCTGCTTCATTTTTTATACTTCTGATGAGATTTTAGAAATTGGTTAGTAACACAAAACTATTCTGCTTTCAGATCCGCATATACAACAATATTTAGTTCAACCGTATTAGCGTGATCAACTGATGTTTTCTATTTTTTTTATCGATGTCTATTGAAATTGAGTCGGAAATTTCCGTGTTTTTCTTAACCGCAATTTGCAAAAGTATATGGTGCAAAATGTCAATAACGTTTATCGATTTTCTGCAAACTTCTGAGCTTTGATACTTAAACCAAGAAACTTGAATATTTCAAGCACAAAAACATCTCGATCTATATGTTCGAGCTATTTCGCAAGATGTAACAACATGGAGGAAAATTTATATGGAGGTGTGACGCGGGTGGGTCGATTTTATACAAGACTGAACCAATCATATTCGAGATGAGCATTCTTTGAATTAAGATTAGCTATGAGCGTATACCTAGTAGAACGGTATAAGTTTCACCGGCCATGGTTGTTCACTGGGCCTGTAACGAGAACGCTGTAACGTTCCAAGTGATTTCGGATTAATTGTTTCAAACAGACACTGATCCCAATAACCGTGATATGTAATCACATGTCAGCACCTCCACAACTAATGAGTGCTCACAAACTGTTTTCACTGAACAACATACGAAATTGTCTGTTTTCTGAAACCAATGAAATGCAATTTCGACACTTGCCTATTCCTGAGATAGGGAATTTAGATAATAGAAACAAGTAAATGATAGGCCGATTCTCATTTAATTTTAGATGAATGTTTCGAAATATAACAGTTTAACACAATTTGATTAAAAATTCAAACATTTCATAATTTATTAAGAACTCCGTTTCCTTCTTTTACAGTTGAAATCTATGTATAAAAACATTGTTTCATATGCTGAATTTTATTTCGCATAAGCCATATAATTCGAAATCAACCGTTTTAATTGTTTAATTTATTCAACGCAAAATCAAATTATGAAATGCGTCATCGAAGCTCGATCTATACTTGGCTCATGGACGTGAGTGATTTCAATGACTGCATGGAAAATCCTTTTCAGACCTTGTTGAAAAATAGGGTCGTATAGCACTGCTAATGATTTTTAAACCGAGATTAAATAATGCAATTCAAAAATATCTCGGAGTTCATAATGAGACACTAGTCTACTGTTTATAACTGTACATTAATTTTTATAAGTCTCATGCGAAAGCACCCAAGGAACCGCATCCTCCACAAAAGAACATTTCTGTTTTGATTTACGTTAAACGGTTTGATACAATATCATAATTTCTGTTAATTGTGAATCTTTTACTGTTGAAACTTTTACAGTTTGCGTACTAACTATAACTATCATGTTTTTTTATATGGCATTTAACGCCTTTGTCAGAACCAAACAATGAACTATAACTTGTCTTAACCTAGCTTTTTCTAGTTTTTGTCAAAACATGTCTTCACTGTATAGTTAGTTATCTCATTCATAATTTTCTAGTGATCAAAATAAGTTGAACAGACCAGATTTCGCTTCTGTTCTTTATCAAAATAATTTCTGAAGAGCACTATACTTTTATAAGAAAGATTTACCTATAATACTTGGTACACATAGCCATGTGATCTTAAATTCTGATTTACGCATGCATTTAAATTCAGATATAAGAACAAATATTTAAAGGTTAATAATTTTATATGACACCATCTTCTTGAGAACGTGCAATTTTCTAAAATTCATAAAATTTCATGTTTATTTCATAAATATTTTGAAATTTATCAAAAATTTTCTACGAATTTGAGTCAGCCATTTGCAATAACCAAACGTTCTTACTCTACCTGACTAAATATTTATTACTGTTTACAATATATGGACAAAGTAGATAATGCATCATACGTCCTAATCAATAAACAAAATTAGTCAATATTAATTTTCTCTATTGACTGACGACGAACCTTATCGACTTTAACAAATTATAACGCCAAGTTATATCCATGTATAAACGGGCTCACATACACACAATTCGAAAAGTTTTTAAATACGTGTTTTGAATTAAGCTCTTATTATAGATAAACGCATATAAGTAGAACGAAATCATCTATCTGGTGTACTTGGCAACAGACGGGTTTTGCAGAGCCCTCACTTTTAATTCGATATATCAATTCGCGAGGGAAATCAAAACAATTTAGGGATTCGGCAGTAAAACGATTTATAACATTTAACAAATTAATGACTGGGTGAAAGGAAACATCGGTAGGCAAAGAGTGATATAAACTCGATGAAAACAAACAGTTAAAAGGAAAGATGAAGGCAGTACAAAAGTACGATAAGTAAAAAAACTCAACTCTTTGAAAATTCAATAAGGGAAATACGAAAATTAAAAATAAGAGAAATGTAAGGGAAATGTAAATATTAGAGAAAACACAAAATTCTGAGTGCTTCGTTGTTTCCAGTAAAATATGACTGATATTTACCACATAGAGAGTTTCAGTATTTAAAGATAATTAGAAGATAAGAACTATGGTTAAGGAAGATAAATCATATTTTGTTGATCAAATATCAATTAGAAATGATCTTGAAATGACGAAACATGTTGTCAAATTCACAGAAACGTACTAATAGCACTTTAGCAAGTCTTTCGAGGGAAATAAATTATTTTTGGACAAAATGCCTCGCCAATAATATTTGTTTCAAATTTAGGTCATTGTTTTCTTTTGTAGGAACTCTTTTTTCCATGCTTAAATATACCTCAATATTGCAAATGGCGCTTCAAAACATCAAAATATTGATTTCCGGCATCGGGCAATATTATTTAAATATTCATAGAGATTATGTGACACAAGATCTCACACAAACAAATTCAGAAACAAAACAATCTGGTTCTACAACGTAAATAGGATTTTCTCTTCACAAAACACGTGTTTTACACGATAACTTAGTATTGTTTTCGCCACAAAAACTCCTTTTTCGGCCCAAGAATTGGAATTTGCATGAGTTGCGGTACAGCACAAAATTAGATTATCTTTTTGAAACAATCTTTGCTAACACTGTTAAAGCTTTGTTTAGGGACATATCACTTAAATCTAAGACGGCGGAGGTCTTTTAAATACATTTAGTTAAATTAGATCTTAGGTAAGCATCAATTTATCAAAAGTCAGTTACCCAAACTCCCTCACACGAGAATGTACTATTTCTTACACAAACCCATGATAAATTGTGTGCCGCTTACATGCACGTCTAACAATTCTAAATAGCACTGATTTCATTCAAATTAATTCGATTAATTAATACTCTCACTTCTATAATAGTGCTCAAAATGTTTACGTTTTTTTACATAAATTATTAACAAACTCCTACATGAAATATTTTCAAGAACAATGTTGTATAGGTAATTTTTCTCCATTCTTGATATTCCCAGAATGAATAAATTTAAAAAAAAAACTTTTTTTTCTAATGAATTAAAAAATATTCAAAATCTGTATAGGAGTCTCACAATAGAATTCCGATATTGTTTATCAAACAATTATACAGTTTTATCAACAAATCACACCAACGATAGAATTCTATTGTTGTGTTCTTGGAAGGTTTTGGAATAGAAAAGTGGTTTACAAAGAATATTAATGCTTGCATTGTTTTGTAACAATTGAACACAAAATTATATAAATTGTTCCTCGCCCATTCAAATGTTTGCTTTGATATATGCTGAAGAAACGAAAAATAGGAACATACATTGGCTTAAGCCTGTCTCGATAAAACTTGACCACAAAATTTCAGTAAGTAAATATTTCTATTGAAGTAAATACGATTGTTTGTTTTTAATATTGGGAAGAGTTGTTTTTTGATATCACATAAGTTTATATTGAGTTCAAAACTGCACGAAATGCATTCTAGAAAGTACGTATATTTTGCTTTCGAGACGCTTAAATTTTCATACATTCCGAACAAAAAACCAAGTTTAGACTTGTGTTTTCGCGCCACCTAATGTTTACGCGTGTTACACAGATAAATTGTGTAAGTAGATTTTCAGTAAATGATAGGACAATATTTCTTCATTTTTGCTGATTATATTTCAGCTATATACAATCCTACAACATAAGTACAAGAAATAAGGCTTGATATAGCTAAACAAGTAAAAAGTTAAGATGAGTTGATATAAATAGGACTGTTATGAGTGTGTGAATAATATGCATGTATAATTGGTTATTCTTTCCGTATGTAGCGTTCCGTTAAAATTAAACTGAAATATTTTAGAAAAGCATAATGACATCTTTGAGGCAAGGATCCGTTAATTCAGAAGTGTTTCAAAGTATTCACAATTGTTCAACTTTGTGCCCCCATAAGTTAGAGGGAAATAGAATAGAAGAACTTATTATTCTTGAAGAACATGCAGTTAACATAGGATTGGATGATAATGCCAGCGATGTGAGTAACCATATCAAATATTAAATCATAAGTGGGATCTATGAATATCCGTAGGTATTTGGTAACTATACATGAAAACATGCAATCCGTTATTGTCCATGTTGATGGTAACATTCATGTTCTGCTGATTTTAATCCATGTCATACTACGCAAACACACATGGATTTTCTTTTGCATTATGAATAAACTGTTCCAATCTTAAAGTCGTTTTTTTTTTATACAGAGCACGATTTATAAGAATGTGAGTGATGCAGACTCTGCAACTTTGCGACGAAATGAGCTGAAAAAAATACGGAACGGGAAAAGGCAGCAAAGGAGAGAAACTCGAATAGAACGAAAAAAGAGAAGAGACGAGAGAGCGGGGAGTAGAAAGGAGAGAGATGAATTAGAACAAGAAAGAAGAGAAAAATTGAGAGAAGAGTTTGAAGCAGATGTGAAAGTGAAAAATTACGATTGAAAACATTTTAAGTCCTTCACTATAATTCACTATTTTACCCAAATATCTCAGTATCTGGATAAATGCCTTCCATGTATTTACCCATTGACTCTATTGACTGGTTCTGTCATATCGAAACAAACATACAACACTTTCACAGAAACATTGGTCGGAACATCCGGATTTATTTAAGAAAAAAAGTATGACTAAAACAAACGATTCAGAAGAGATTCAAGTAGGTGCGATTTTTTGCAAACTTGGTGTGTTAAGGATATATGCAGATGATATGCAATAACTCGATAACAAAATAGTGGTGCATATAATCGCATTCGCATAATATCTGAAGTTTATTTATAAAATAAGTATGAGATAATGACAAAAATTAAAGATGGAACTAGACATAAGCAGTGAAAGCTGCTTGTTGTTCAATAACTCAACGACTGTTGAGATATAGAAATATTTATTATGTCTGGTTATCGATTTTAGAAGTTGCGTAATGTCACAATACAAATGGCGTTGTTGTTTTGGGATCGACTATTCGCTTCATTTAACACTTGTCGGACCAATGATCTAATGGTTAGCTCTTTGAACTTGATTCAATTGGGATAACATGAAACCTCCGTGAGAAGAGTATTTTCCATAGTACTTCATGTAAATTAATTCATTTTAAAATGAGTTATCACGCAAAGTGTGAGGGCAAATTTTATTCTATAGTTCTATACGATGTTTTAGAATTTTTGACGTTTACCTCTTACAAAAAGTAGACTTCGTTTGCCAGACTTGAATTCTTGAAAGACAACTGATAATTAGTATGCTTTGTTATTGACGTAGTTGTGTCAACTCATCGGCGCAATCTTGTATTAGGTTAAAGGCATTTTAAGCGTTTCGTGTTCTTATTTCGAATAGTATGCTAGTTCTATTGAGCGTTGCATTTGGCAAACGCTGCAGTACGTTTGAACACATACTAATATCTTCAAATATTATAGTTGCATTATTAGAAATGACCGTAATCGTAATAAATGAGATGCTGACCTATTGCTGTGACATATTTTCATTATTGAAATAACGCATACGAATTTGTTTTGGTTCAAATCTCTAGATTCTATAGATTAAATGAAGACTTTATTTCTTTCTGATTCTGTGATCAGTCCTTTTGCTGTATTGTCAGTATACAGACTAAATCAAAATCAGCATAATTATATAAATGTTTATATGAGATGAGGTAATCATATTTCAATGCCTAGTCAAAGTTTATAATTTATAAGTAAAAAACTAAATCGACTTTATGTAAAAAGTAATTGAAAAAAATTCTGAAAATAGATATGGTATCAAATTTAGTAAAAAAAAAATGTTCGTGATAACCCACCAATAGAAGTTATACATAAATATTTATGGTTGGATATTTCAGATCGAAAAGCGAAGATTATAGCAATAATTGGCTTGTTAATCGTTCTTGTGGTTACCGGCTTACTTTATGCAGACAGAACTTTGAGTGAGTATGTTTACATGTATTCAACTGCGCAGGCAATGGTTGGTCATTATATTCACTTGATTATATAAAGAACAACCACAAAAATATATGTCAAATTACCTGTTGTACAACATGAGCAGCAGCATTTTAACAACATTTGAAAGTTTCAACTCGTTCAGTTTCGATCATATTGGCATATTGAAATATAACTGTTATCTTACGTGGTGCGAGATTCCCAACGTAAAAACTTGGAGTAACTTGTTATGTTATTAAATATTAATATTAGACTGACAACTAAAAGGTAATATTGTTTCAGATCCGCAAAAAAGTTGTGACGAAATGGGAATTTAAGAATATAACAAATGAATAAGCCGTGACCGTCTACTATACTGTAGAACAGATGGCAATTAAATTTCATTACTTTTCAATACGTATGAAGTTTTTGTAGTACGTAATAAATTCATGATGGCACGAGGTTTCAAATCAAGGATGGAACCAATATAGCGTATAAATTCGACTTTGAAGAAGAGTATCAATGAAGACAGCGTTAGCATGGGACTAAATGGCGTTCAGCAAAATAATTCCTGAGTCAAATTAAAACCGATTTACTTCATCAAACTATAATGACAAATTTCGACAAATTTGTGATTTGAATGATTTTCAATCCAATCTTGAAAATGGGATTACTAACCTAATAACTATATAAGTATGAGACACATTCTTATCTTTGAATATAAGAACCAATCGTTTGAGAAATCGCCGAAGTATACGGAGTATACATATGAATTATACAACAGAGCAGAAACACAACAAAGAAACTACAATGCCATTTATTTCATCACAATACTAAAATTTTTGTACATCAATCGAGTTTTAAAAGGATTTTCGGCATCGATTTTATATTGCCGCCCTTTCACTTTAGTTTGGAATCGCGTGAAGGTAAGTTTTGAAGATAGGTATACGTTGGCTATTAAAGCATATATTAATTAGCCCCTTGCGTAGTTGGCTGTTTATGAATGTTGAATGTTATATAAAAGCGGTGGCCAAAGCCAGTACTCAATATATGGAAGTATTGCCGTGCCGAAAAATTCGCGTAAATCTAGACATTTTTGTTATGTGAGCTTTTCCATGATTCAACAACTATCTTTCAAACAATTATTTCCAGGGAACCTACCATTTTTTTGAGTGTACCAACCAGCCTTTGGGTACCAGATTAGGTACTTTATATGATACGATGGCATCAGTCACAGTAGCGCACTGCCCCGTATTTTATCAAACAATGCATGACATTAATATAAGGGAAACTCAAGTTTTCGGTGTACAAATATCAACTGTATCTCAACACGAGCCAGCAATCAAACCTAAATTATGAGACTAATATTGGGTTGCATAGGATCACTTGAGAAACTATGGAAGCTCTACACGATGAGGATAAAGCGATTTTGACTCAATTTACACACAATGAATATCAAAAAACGATGGAACGTAGCAGATCAAGGTTGCAAGAAGAAGCTTCGGTAATACCAAATTAAAAGTTACAAATATACAAGATAAATAAAACTTTCCTATATGTATAGATTCTATCGAATTCTGCTTTTGTCCTTTTTCTGTGAAATATGTTGTCGATTTGTACAAACTGAATAACGATTTCAACACTAGATAGATCCAAAAATACTCAAAAAAGAAATAAGACGAACTCGAAAAGAAAAAAGGCATCAATACAGAGAGCAAGTGAAGCGAAGAAGAGAAAGGAGAAAAGAAAAAAGAAGAAAGATTCTAGAAAATGATAGAATTGAGGAAGAACTACGAAATGCAGTAAGAAAAGAATGGGAAATAGAAATACAAAAAGGTTGAGTTTATATTTTGCCTCAAAAATGGACCAACCAGTCCAAATTTTTCATTAGTTTAAGCTTTAAGACGATTGTCTCGCAGTAATATATTATGGTAATTTTTTCTATTTTTCTCGACCCTCCGTGTCTGCTGTTTTTCCAAAATTGAGTGCTTTTATGAAAAAAAGTTTTTCGCAAACTGATTTATGCTAAATTAACTTTACCTCCGGTCCATGTATTTGGGTATTGCTTACTTGTTACAAGTCTGAGATTTAATAAATATTTAGTTAATTTTTAACTAAAGTAGGCTTTTACATTTTTAGCAAAGAAAGGAACCACGGGCGCCAAAGGTGGTAGCAATAATAAACAGACGCGGATGGGTGAGTAGTTGATCTATTTGGAAAAACGTTTACTCAGATATCACATTTTTTATTTTGCCATTCGCCTGTTTCAACTCCCACAAATGATAGCAATTGAAATTTTTTTTAAATTATCTTAGACCGACAGACTGTGCATATTATGTAAGTATAGTAATGGGAGAAGAATATAATTAATGAAAATACATTCGCAGAATGAAACACATATTCAATCCATAATCTTAACTTTAGCTTATTGGATATTGTGCGACGAAAAGATACAAAAAAGTGTATAGTGCAAAATATATTGTTTAAAAGCGTGAAATTGGTCATATTTAAGATCACCTTTTCAAAGTAATTTTATTCTATACAGATCTTACAACGAAAGTGATGCTTACTTTACTGGTTTTAATCAGTGTTCCCATGAGCTTATTAATTATGGAGAAATTTAGTGAGTCTTATTTACGTGATTCAGTAGCGGAAACCTAATTCATAATAAGTGAATTCGAGTGAAGTTAATTGATAATTTACACTAAAAGTTAGAATATTTTATTAAAACCAAATTCACACCAGTTTTACACAACTAATATGTGGAAGATGTCTCAAAAATATCATGCCCTACACTTGTCTCAATTGTTGAATCTCACTTCATATAAATACCAGAAAATAGCATGAATTCCACTTTTTATGCTACTTTAACCATTTCGCACAAAAAATATTCAACCCAGAACAATGAGACAAATGGGATAAGTGGAACAGGTTCAATAAAACTCGTCAAATGTGCTAAAAGGGGAGCATGCGGGACATGACATTTTTGAGACACTCTCCAAATCTTTCAAAGTTGGCTATGATAGAATTATAACCGCTCAATCAAGAAAGCTGTTAAATTTTTACTAACAAATAACAGAAATATTTCACTTTTCTTTTGTTAGGACTAAGGTCATTGAGAAATCACTCGATATCTTTAGATATTTGAACAGCCCTTATGAGTTATAATACTATGTTTCTTGTCAATTGTCATATAATTTTGATCAATATAGAATATTCAGAATAAAACTGATTATGTTGCTGCTTTTATATGAGTTAAGTCGCAACAAGAAGATCTTTTTTTCAGCTCCAATACAATGTACCGAAGTTGTTATAGAACAAGATGATTGGACCGATCACTCGGTAAATAATAGACAATAGCTTGGTTCCAGTAGCTAGATTTTAGTTATAGCTGATCCTAGATACGCTATGTGCGGGGAATTGTTTAAAACTTTTGTAGTGAAAAAATTATAAAAATGTTGGGGTATATGGCTGTGTCATAGTGTAATAGCTTTAAAGTTATATTCTTGAAAATGTAATACACTCAAAGCAGTTAAATATTACACAAGCTATATTCAGAAACCCTGATAGAAAGCATCGAATAATGAAATTTCGGACGTTTAGATTGATTCTGGTTCTCCTTTAAAATATTTTCACTATTTCACAATCAAAATCTGTGTGGTGGCTTGTATGCTATGCTGAATAATATATTTATATATATATTTCAATTCCTGACACACTAGACATGGTGTACAACTATAATAAAATGAACATTTCAGATGATTGAAGATGTTGAAAATGATCCAAATCGAACTGCGCTACCTGAAGTCCCCTCGACAACTAAGAGTTTGTTAAACACCACGACAATGCCATCGACAACAACAACGATAACGACCACGGATTCTAACATTGATGGGAATATTCAATACCAAAATACGACAATAAGTCAAAATAAATAAAGTACTTGCTCCGTATTGATAACCGACTACTTTTAATACTTTTGCTACCGCGTATTCTAGAAAAAAAATCAGGAATAGGGGGGTGAACAATTTGAGACTGTGGTAAAAATTTGCCAAACGATGACAAATTTTTCAGCGCTTACTAAGACATCTAATGGTTGAAAAATTTTCAATTGCCTTTCTTCAGGTGGCAGTATTGAAGCAAATCTCTCATATGGCATCGTAAGAAGTCGAAGCACTTCCTATTTAAGGATAACGGAAAGGCTTCAAATAGTCAATATGATTTTATGATTTAGCAATTTTTATCAATTCACATGAAAATATAAACGAACTTTGCGCCCACAACATTTACTAATATAATCAGAAAATAATACTTTATGACGCATCTAAAAATCTAAGTAAGAGTACAGTTTGCAATTGCGCAAAGATGTTAGTACACTTTTTCACTTTACCAGTCTTTCATCATATTGTGAGTTTCAGTAATATATTCAGACCAGTTCTCATTTGTCTATTGTGTAGCAGAACAGAAGGAGAATGTCCAGTAGTAGCATGTTCAGTGCACAGGATATAGATTTATTTCCTTTTGAAGAATAACACTATGGTTGTTTTTGGAAGAGGTCTTTTGTGTTCATTTATCAAAAAAATAAATTACATTGTAAAAAATCACGAGATTTTTTAATAAAAATTATATAAAAACCGACATCCATTGTTTTTATTTGTATTTCCTATACAAAAATCAAGTGACAAATATCATAATTGTGATTGTGACATCACACAACCTTGAATAGTGATGTGATCTTCACCTTACCTCAGGTCATTGAACATTTCCTTTCCCACACATTTTAAATTTATTTTAAGGTTGGGGTTTAATTAAATTCATTTCTAAAATTCAAATTAGGTCTTATTTTCGAGGAAACACGGTAGTTTTGCGATGATTAGCCATTGCTGTGTTCTGTGTTATGTCGTAAAAAGTTAAATGGGTCGCCATAAGCTGTGGTAATAAAAAGTGGGTCCCAACTCTAAAAAGTTTGGTAAGCACTGGTCTATACATTTGGCTAGTTTTGTACGAAGGCCTTGTCTAAACAAATGTAGGCAATGTTTGAGGTCAAGAGCTTCATACAAGTTCATTATACAACTTCGTACAATGTCAAGTACTATTCAAAATTTTAGTGACGTATGTATCACATTCATTAGTATGCCAATCCATGGTGCAAGAATATTGTAATACATTCTGCACCAATGGGTCCCTACCGCTAATCAATGCACACTGAGGACATCACATTACGATATATTTTGGAATAAAAATGAAGAATATTCTTGAGAAGCCCAACTATATTGTTCATAAATCTCTGGGTGATTCAAATTCGCTTCAGATAAATGATTCAAATCAAAATTTGATCATCAGATCAAAACGCCGTTTGCTACTTACAACAATAAATCAATAAGGTGAAGAAATTATAAAACATGACGAAGTGATAGGTTTGGATATGTTAGCCGTTTATAAGCGTCAGTATTAGCACCTTAGTATTCGCAATCAAGTGAAACGATAGGCCATAATTTTCCTGGTTTTCCTAATCCAAGTTTTTAGAAATAGTTAGATGTAACTACTCGAAATTCTCAGTATATCTTAAAATATAAATGAATCAACTGATCATTGAACTAGACGTTTGGAGAACGACAACAGCAATAACGAGGCAAAAAGTGCTGTGATACGTGAAGCTTTGTGGAAGGAACACACTGTGAGTTATGTGACCTTTGTGAAGTTTTTTGTACAGTTATGGTTTGTGCACGTGAGTGATAAATAACATCACATGATATCATATTAACATATATATATATATAGGTAACAATGTAATCAGTGTGCTTAACCCGTACACGTAAGGGTCAAAAGTTTATTAAAGCGGAATAACTGCGTGACGCAGAAACTGTTCGCCGTAAACTAGAGATAATAAAAAAGCAGCTTACTGTAATTTGCTCCGAGAATTATGATAAAATCGTGATCAATAGCACATTTGAACTTTTAATTATCAAAATTTACATAAATTGGTATTCGGTTTGTAACCCTGTATGAACGAAATCGTTTACGATTTATAATGATATAATGAAGCAGGGGTGGCACGTCGATCGCGATTAGGGTTGCCAATCGTTCTTTATTTCAAAGGACAATTTTTTATTCAAGCTTTTCGGTCCTTGTCCGTTTTAGCATTTAGAAAAGATGCTAATTGTCCTAAATTTTTTCCAACGTCGTTTTGACCGATAGTTATAGAACTGTGTTTGGTATTGTTCCGTTCTTAAAAAATCGCCTCCGTTTATATGTATTTATTTTTTAATTTCGATTTGGTCCGGCTCAAATAGCCAAAGAAATAACAATTTTATTAACATTGCTTGGGTCAATGTTAAATAAACATTAAATGAAAAACATATAAAGATTTTTTTAACATATCTTTTTAGCTTGTATATAATTTTTTATTTCATTGTTTTATATTGTTCTTTCATGCAAGTTGCAAAATAAATGATGACGATAATCTATGTCCTTTTCATAGTTAGCAACCCTAATTCCGATCGACCGGTCGATCGTCACGTCTCGAGCAGTCGATCGCGTCTGATGTGAATTTTATTGAAATACCCCAAAAAATTGTATCGAACCAGTTGTGCGTTTTGCAACAGGGAGAATACAGTACTTTATATGCACAAAATACAATATACACATACAGTATTTGAGTCTGGGCAAGCCCGATAAAGCATAATATCACGTAACAAATGCAAGTTTTTCCGCTGCCAAGGTTTAAATATGAAGTGCCGAATCTCGCGTGTCTAGACCAGGGTTGCCATATTGGCCTTTTTAACGCCAAATTTCACGATTTTGGCTTTTTTGAAACACGTTTGGCGTCAGAATTCCCTTTTGGCTTATTTTGATGTTCATTCTACTGTCTATTATTAAAAAAATTTAAACTACAATATCGGTATTTATTGTGCAACAATAGCAAGCTCAGCTACTAAACATTTAGATTTTCCCTTAACCACAATCAATCAAAAAGAAGCCAACAATGACATAAATCTGCTATCGATTAGGTTGAACTATGAGGTCAGACAAAACGTTTCAGAAGTATATTTGTGTTAGTGTGCAGCAAGACTATTGAATCACTTAGAATGACATACCAATTGCAGTTTTTGCAGCCGCTCAGACAGATGTTCAAGCAGCTTCGTTTTCATAGTTTTGCGTTTCACAGTGTTATATGTCAGTTTTTAGTTATGTTTTCAAAAAATAGTTGTACGCCTTATTTCAGTAATTGTCATTTTGCCTTCCGAGGAGCTTTAGTTTGGTTGCGGTAATCAAAATTCTCGCGAACGTCGTGATTATCTAGGCTAAAATCATCTATCAATAGACTATCTATGCAAGCGGCACGTGGTTAAATAATTTTAGTAAAGGCGATGCGTTCAAACATGTGAACCAGTTTATAATCGTCAACACTTCAACCCAATCATAAAAATAATTTCGGACTTCCTGAAGTATGCGCACCAAGATGGCGCACAACCTGAACTCAGGTTGTGTACCAGGTTAGGGTTCAGGTTATGTGACATCTTGGTGCGCATACTTCAGGAGTACCAAAATTTCAATAGTAAAATATCGGAATTTTCTGAGGTATATATATATCGCAAGTTAAAGTAGAAACGTTCTAAAGCGGTATACATGGTGTATTGTATAAACCTGAATTGAAAAAATAGTGCTGTCTGCATAATATTTCCTTTTATGACTTTTTGATGTCTTTAAATTTATTATGTAGAATTGTAGATGTCGGATATACATACTAATTCTGCCATTAAATAATCCTACTTAGTTGTAAACCATTGATCGTGCTGAAATGGAAATCTCCATGATAGCAACCAAAACTACAAATTCTAGTAGGATTTAGCATTTGATGTGGCTCACTAAATCAACTGATGGCTCTAAATAAGCATATTGCAAACTGTGCAAATTCACAATTGTGCTATATAGGAGTTTCAAATCATGAGGTTTTTGTACTTGTTAAAATTGTTGACTTTTTTCGTCTTTATATGGCTTATTTTCATCGCTGGGATTTGGCAACCCTGGTCTAGACTGACAAGGATCCTACAATAACTTCCGCAGTTTGCGATAGGGGATGCCATACTTCTCTAATATCTGAATATTTAGGGGGTTATACGTTCTCGACCCCAACCCAACAATGCAAGTTTGCTCGAAGCAAAGTTGCTAGACTTTGACTGTCAGCAGTTAAAAAATTGAAGAGAGTTTAAGAGTGGTATTACTTTCATAATTTTTTACATTTCATTTTTCACATTAAATATTTGGAGTTCTTAATTTTATCACAAACTTCGCCATGCGAATTTTCTGTCAGTATATATAAGTACAATTTTCTGCACTGACAGGAATCCAAAGCTGAAAACGATAAAGACTTGTTACAAATGATCCGCGAAATCTTGTTTTAATCTTGTTTACTGCCGAAATCCATAATATTTAGAGCTAAGGGATTTATAAAACTGGTTTGTAATAAGTGTGCCGCGACTTTTTAATCTTGTTGTTAGTGTGACGCGAGCTGAAAAAGTTTGGGAACCCCAGGAGTGGTGTGATAAATTTTATTCGCAATGGTAGCTGTGGCATCAAAATGCCCAAATTGTCCTAATTCAGAGCTAGCGAAGAATCGCGTTTGGAGGAAATTGTAAATTAGATACTGAATTTTGAGCAGTCATGTAACATTCATGGTTTGAGAATATTTATTTTTCGCTGGTTGGATAATAGAAGAATTTTCAACACTTACGACTAAAAATTAGGCACGTCCTTTATCTGAATTGTATGATTTAAATAAATCCTAAATAAATAATGAAACATTTACTCATGGTACAATTAAATATTCAAATCAACAACTTGAATGGAACATAAAAAATGCAATTTTTGTGTCGATTTTGCGAATTTTTTGTATGCATGTGTACAGTTATCTGCACATTCAGTGCCCATACGTTTTTGTGTAGAACCTTATTACCGATCAGTCGATCGCGATCTATTTTAAAGATTTTAGTCGATCGCAGTCGGAAGCAGGTTGGCCACCCCTGTAATAAAATAAAGGACCGAATGTGTTTAATTTACAGAAAAGTTTTCAATCTTCAAAGTTTCCGAACATTAGCAACGGCTTATCACAGGGAATATATATTTATATATACATGGGTTAGGAATTCATAGATTATTACATAATAGAACATTTAGGTGAGAAAAATTCATCTTTTATTGTATAATGACTTAAAAACAAAATAAATTAAAAAGCTGGCTGTTAACATTTAAATAACTTTGGAATCAATTTCACTTTGTGAACTAGAGTTTACCTCAACTGACTCTGATGTTTAGAAAAGACAGAATATCATTGTTTGCTTCAGCACTGCATAAATATTGGCAAACAACTCGTTCTTGTATTATGTTGATTACATTTCCAGTGTAGGTACCCTGATGCTTTTGTCAGATTAAACATCCTCAAACAAAAACCAAATATCACCTCCAGGTGAACCTAGTTGCTGTAAGATGAATCATAAAGTTGACTGGTAATCTATGCATGAACAAATGATTTGTATACCTACGACCAATTTGTACAGTAATTCAGATATCACCAGTGCGGTACTTAGTGTGTCGTAAATTTTAAACATAAGGACAAACGTGTCCCTCAACTCTGTATGAACCCAGAAGTTAAATACCATCATGTCTATCAAAAAACGAAAGTGGGTTCGAATAAACTCGAATAAAATATGCAATCAATCGCAAGCATTTATTGGAAGAATATTTCCCATTCTCTAATTCTAGTACTGCGAACATACGATGTGGTATATCGTCAACATATTTTAATCACTACTTGTGTGTGGTATGACTAAAAATGTCCTCTCCCTACTTTTAATCATGTCGATTACGTTACGACCAAAGCATGTTAGACCAAATACTACCAACAGCTTCACATTTATTATATTTTCATTGTTATAATAAATATCGGAATGAAGAGTAATATTTAAGACAGGGATATAGGCTGATTTTATGTTTCGTTGTAATAAAACTTCAAATAGAACACTCACATATTTTGTAGCAACCCATATTTACTCATACTAGCGCATTTTTGCACCATCACTGACTTTCATCGGCACATGGTATGTTGTTTTTATACTCAGCGTCAAATCTCAATTTTCATAATTTGAGCTCAAGATGTCAGAGGATTTGGCAGTGCACGGAATTTTGCAACTGAATTTACTTTGTCTAAATCAACATCTTAAAGCAAACATAAGCAAATATGACCTACGTTTAAACTGGAGTTTCAAAGAGCCTTTCGAGAAGGAATAAACATTACTAAACTTATATTAAACCACACAATGTCGACATACATTCCGGCTTAAAGACCTATCGTGTAGTTTCTTATACTCGGCAGACAATAAAAGGCGTGGATTTCACTGTTATATTACGGTAATTGAGATTTCATGAGAATTTGACGATGTGTACTGCAGAGTTATTTCAAGTAATTCGAGACTTATCTTAAGTCTTGTTATAAACCAAGGTACGTCAGGTCTGATTGAAATGAAGACGTGAATCCTATTTGAAAAACTTTTGAAGTCATCTTAATACATTCCAGGCTTATAAAATCCAAAATGTACATAGATATGCGATAAGATTTTCAGTGCATTTTCTTTCCACTTGTTTTGTTATTATTCGCCGCTAAAGACACGGAGTTCCCTCGTTGCATGCTTGCCTTGGATCTGGTGGATAAGAGTTTGTGCTCATAACGTCCATTTGCATTGTTTCTTCTTATATAAATATATATGCAGATCGCGTTTGGAAGATAAAAGGGAAATGCGACAGATATATTAAATAACAGATCCCATAGTTTTAGTGCAATTAGGGTAATTATTCCCCAATGTTGCAGATAACAGTTTTCACGTTAAGCGCTGTAATTTATTCATTTATTGTTATTGCGAATTGCTAGATTTGTGAGGAAATAATGCATACCCAAAAGAATTTTTTGTTTATTTCGTTCGTTTATTAGTTTACACTACAGAAAATACTGCGCGCGTTCAGTTGGGCAACAGCCTCCATAAGTTCCAGCGTATCCCATGCCTATTTTCTTGTCATCTTTCAAGTTCTCGTGAATCCAAGTCAATATCGATTATATTTTTAGATCTTTGACTCTTTAGTACAAAGGTCACAAAGTTTGCTTATGTATTATCTTTTTATATTAAAATCAACTTTTGACCTAGTTTGTTCAAACAATAGTGAACTATTTATAGCTCGTGTAATTTCGCAAAGACGAAACACTTTAATATACATAAGTACTGGTTTGAAATGATAAACTTTATTTCAACCCACCACACACGTGATTGTTGGTCAAACATTGGGGAACGACGTAATTGTGAAACAAGTATTAGAAGAGAAGAACCGGGAGTGGTTCAGATGTATATGACCTGGAACAGATATGGGGAAAGAACTAAATACGTTTTACGTATGCCATTTATACATATTTTCTAAAGAGTTCCATACTAAATTGAACGAGACTAAGTTGGGAAATCACCAATACAACGTAGTAGGTTGATATCGTAGGGTTTTGTTTTTTATCAATTCTATAAAAAAAACATCGTGTCTGAAAACAAGGGCTTGTTTTAAATCAAATTTTTTTCTGTATTTTTTATTGAAATACCCACTGCAACGCCGCGAAACTACGCCAAAACGTTGCATTCTGGCAGCTGCACACGCAGCCGGAATTATAATTCCAAAAATGTAAGTAAAATTTTTTATATTGACTCCTACTTCTTTTGCGTACAATTATCGCCGCTTTATATCTCCACCAAAGTCATAAGATTTTACATGGAAAGTTTAGTCGAGATATCAGAAAGACGTTTTGAGTAAGAAAAATCATGAAAATTAGCTCACGAGCCTACTACACAAGCAATTATATCAAGTGCAGCCCTTCGGCAAAACAAGTGGGTTGCGATAATGAAGAATATGCTTATATCGGTGGTAATCTACTGATATAAACGATAAGACAGCCTAGCCTAGCCTATGTTAATTGTAAGGGTCCTCTGATGCAAAGACGTCACAACTAATCGGTTATGACGCCATAATATGGATTTCGAGTTCATGTATTGACCTTTTTCTCACAAAATGAAGGTATTATTACAGTTAATACTGTTCGGGTAATTTATGCTTAGCCTACTTTGTTTCTAAGGTTGAAGTGATAGAGTTTTTAAAGGTTATACTAACTCATTTATTCGATCGCATTTTAATTTTCGAAAGGTGGTGAATCGCAGCGTGGTCGTTCACGTAATGGCTTTTCGGTTGCGTCTTACTTATTTTAAGGGGGTATAAACTACCTATAGTTACAAATTTACCTAATTTTCGTGGTTTAAAAAGTGTCTGATAATCGTTATTTCCTTCAGTATTGTGATGGATCATACGTGGTAGGTGATAGATACACAAAGCAATACAGCGTCTCACGCGAAGGTATTTACCTCGAAAGCGGTGGCGCAACATGGCCGCCGCCGGCTGAGGTATAAAACGCCAGCTAGCTGAACGAATGTTCATTCGGCAGAAAAAACCCCATGTTGCGCCATTTTAGAATATTTCAAAATCGTGCTATTTATAGGAATTATAATTGATTCATGTATTTTTTTGTATCGTATTTATATATAGAATGATTATTGCGAAACTTGCGCCAATTATTTTAAACGGTACACTCAATTATCACTTAAGCGGCTTAGTTTTTGCCATAGGCAAGTAATAATCCTTGTTCAAATCAAGCTGAAATACTTTTCTTCGAAATGGTTAATTCCTCTTTTAAAAATTATATTTAAGGAGACAAGCCAATAATGATAATAGTTGTATTATTTGTATTCGTAGCATATCCAATCTGAAAATATTTCTCATTACAGTGCAGATAATTTTGTACTCTGACGTGAATATATAAAAATGTCAGTTATGGCCTTTGGCCTGCTTAACGCAGCTGTGATTTATGAAGTTCAGATCGAAGTTGAGTTTAATGAAAGCGTGTGACAACTCATGTTCAAAGTTTATGTTAACACGATATACTAAAACTTACACTTTCTCCTGTAAAAGTACAATTACAGACGATAAACTGTGAATCGATTTGGACTTTTGACGTGTAGTGCTTGTCGGATTGTATGACGATTACAAAAGCGCTACTGTGAACGTATATTGGACGGGGTAGACTTGCAGTAGGGATAAAAGTACTTTTTGAGCAGTAAGGAAATTGTGATATCGAGATTCTAAATTCGGTATCTTTCTCAACTTGCAGTCGCAATTGTAAATAAACAAAGAAGAAAATGCTGAAGATATTAAAGTTTAAAGTACAAGTATTCAAATTTAAATAATCCAATCCTTTCTTAGAATTTCATTTTATAGTCTTTCACAGTTACGGCTCAAAAGTATTCAATCCATTAAACTTTTTTCACTTTAGTAGAATAAATCGTAAAGTAGTTTAATAAAAAAAACTTTACTGAAATGTATGAAAAGCCAAAACCAGTGTTGCGCGTTGCTGTCATTGGGGCCGGGGCGAGTGGATTGGCTGCCATTAAATGCTGTTTAGACGAAAGTTTGGTGCCAACATGTTTTGAAAAATCAGATGGAATTGGTGGACTTTGGAGATTCGATGAAAAACCAACACCGGGTCGAGCGGGAGTTTATCGTTCAACGACGATAAACACCAGCAAAGAGTTATTAGCGTATAGCACGTTTCCCCCACCAGCTGATTTCCCGAATTTCATGCATCATTCAAAACTATACCAGTATATGAAACTATATGCAGAAGAGTACGGACTCAAGCGATGCATTCAATTTAATATTGAAGTTATTTCCGTTGAAAAAACTGTTAATTTTGATAAAAATGATCAATGGAACGTTACTACAAAAACCTGGAATTCAAAAGAACAAAGGGAAATGGAAAGAACTGAAGTCTTCGACGCGGTTATGGTTTGCACCGGACATCATGCATACCCAAATAATCCTGCTGAAAATATACACGGCTATGAAACATTCCAAGGAAGGGTCACGCATGGACATGACTACAGGTATGTTTAGATTCCATAATAGCAGGAGTTCGTTGAGAAAGCAATATATTACAAAGGTTAATTCCAACACTTATCTCAGTCATGTACAGTCAAATGTTAACAATAACAAATACTTCCGCGATACGTTCTTAAGAAATCAATATTTATCACTCGGCCATATAAATAAATAAGCGAATGAATATAATAATTCTGTAGGTGATTAGCAAATGTAATGATTGCTTCACAATAAAACTCCAAAAGACTACCAAAAAAGTTTGGGTGCGAAGGCATTGCTTGATTTTCACATTTGTTTTGAAGAATTGTCAAGAAAGACAAACTATTAGCATAAACATTTTGCTATGTGAATATATGTTCTCTCGGTGCCTGTAATATTCTTTTTAAGCCCCAAAAATCAACTATAAATACAATTCCTTTCAAAAGTATTTCGTCATAAATTGCATAAGTGCATTTACGATGTTTCTTATGGCACAGAGACCACAAACCGTTTGAGAATCGAAGGGTTATGGTTGTTGGCCTTGGCAATACAGGTGGAGATCTTGCTGCGGAACTGAGTAGACATTCAACCAAAACTTATTTGAGCACAAGAAGGGGGGCATGGGTTATAAACAGAATAGGTAAGACAACAAAAATCAATTTTCATTCGATTATTGAAAGCATAAAATAAAGTATGTCATTGGATCAAAACTTGAAAGCTCACGGTGGTATTTGTCGTTTAAATATTATAATCAGTTGTTTGTTATAAATAGAACTTGTCAAATGGAATATTCCTTTGCCACTTTCCTTTCCTTTTCTTTGCCACTCAAAGTGACGACGACAAAAATTGAGCATACAAATATGAGTGAAATTAGACTTAACTTAAACAGGCATATATAAAATTTATCGACAAATACGAGAGTACACTCAAACTTAGTATAAAGAAATATTCAATAGGTCATTAATCCAATTCACCATTTCTTCTCTTTGACAAGTTCGGTAACCGCGATGTTGATTTCATATTCAGCACATCGTGGGTTGCCGTACGACTGTGAAGTTGTCACTCGGCTTTTCAAATATCTGATGAATATAACGCCATCATCTACTTTGAACTGGTTTTACGAAAAGAAAATGACAGATCGGTTTGATCATGAATTGTATGGATTAAAACCAAAGCACAGAATAATGAGTAAGTTATGTTTTTAAGCACCTTTGTAACGAGTTCATTCAGAAAAATGAAATTAACCTGAGCCAAGCTCAGTTAAATTAAATGGAAGCCAAATTTGAGACAAAGTAACATTTCCAAATTAATAATAACCCTACTTATCAGAGTAAATTCGTAAAGGTAAAATTCCGAGTGAAAGCTTGCACTGTGAAAATGTAGGGCAACATATTGTTAACAGCCATGTTACTAAACAAATATAATTACTGTTTTAATGTATTCACTTTGATAAATCGAGTTCAAAAAGAGAAATTACTTACAAGCAAAGCGTGAAACAAATACTAATTAAACAAAATTGCAAAAAATTGGAATTCCAGCTCATTCAGCTTGTTATAAAATTTTCATTCCTGGATTATGAGGTATATTAGTTAAACAATGGTAAATATTAAATTCTAGTTTGTCGAGTTTGTAATGGTATGTTGGTAAAGCAATAGAAGATTAAACTATGATATTTTGTTCTAAATTCATCGAAGGTCAACATCCTCTTGTCAACGACGAACTTCCTGCCCGAATTGCTAACGGTACTGTAACCGTTGTTCCGGATGTCTCTCATTTTAAACATAATGGTATCGTAACTTCTGATGGTATCCTTCAAGAAGTCGATGATGTCATATTTGCTACAGGATACATAATCAAGTTTCCGTTTTTATCAAATGACGTCATCACTGTTGAAGATAATAACAATTTGAGTCCTCTGTACAAACACGTTTTTCCGATCCCAGATACAGAACACCCCACCATAGCTTTGATTGGGAACGTGCAGCCCGTTGGAGGTCTCATGCCGATTGCGGAAATGCAGTCTCGGTGGGCTACTAGAGTGTTCAAAGGAATTTGTAAACTCCCATCAAAGGCTGAGATGCAAAAAGAAATTGACGATAAAAAAAGATCTCTCCAACGAAGATATGTCAATTCTAAAAGGCACACTATTCAAGTCGATTACATGGATTATATAGATGAAATCGCAAGTGAAATTGGAGCCAGTCCTAATATAGCAAAACTTTTTATATCAGATCCAATACTAGCGTGGCACGTTTTGAACGGTCCTGCTAGCGCTTATCAATTCAGACTTCAAGGTCCAGGTACTTGGAATGGCGCACGACACGCTATCGTCACCCAGTGGCAGAGAATTCATGAAGGCTATGGTCGTAAGGTGCCTGCAAAGCCCAATTCACAGAGTCAATTTTGCAAAGATTTCAAGCCCACGCGCGACCGCACTTTACTTGTCGATAAATCTCCATCAGAAGGACAAATTAGTTTTAAAAAATCGATCAATACAGCATCCATTTTTGACTTGATTTTCATAATAATCATGCTCATGTCTGCCACATTAATCTTTGCCTTTCCTTTGTGATTTTTGTTAACGAAGCATAGCAAGTAATTTGTACAATCGCACTGCGTACAAGATAATTATGCAAGCAATAATAAAATGCGCAGCAATCCGTATTAGCGAGCATGTTGCCTGAATAAAGAGGCTTTCAAAAATGAAAAAAAGTACAGTTTAATCTGCACTTAAACGGAAACATTTCTGTGAACTACTTGTCAAACAAATTGTCAGTATTGCCTATATGGCATATGCGATGTAATGTTTTATCGAATATATATATAATTGTTTTTTTTTACATAGTTTTAAATTGTCAGTATTGCCTATATGGCATATGCGATGTAATGTTTTATCGAATATATACAATTGCTTTGTTAAAAATAGTTTTTAATAAATCCTATGTCTTTCCGCATAAAGCCTCTCATATTATGGCGTCTTATCTTTTCTCTTAATAAATATTTCAAGATATATATGAGGAACGTCAAGATACTGTATCAATAAACTTATCGAGGATTCTGTGACTTGGAAGCACTTAAAGGTAAATGTACAGGATAGCACATTACAAAAAATTTCAAAAAGTACCTACAGTAAATGATGATTTGAATGCAAATTGACATTCGTAGTTTTCAAAAAAAAAAGGCTCAGTTTGAACAATGTACTATCGTTATTATAATATTAATAACAATATTGTCCTAATTTTCATGACTGAGAGCAACACAACTTCATTATTTTATGATTTCGCATTTGTGATTAATTCATTTAGTTCTGACAACACTTTGTAACAATTATGGCATTACAAGGATGTAGAATTTGAACAGTATACCATGATATATATCTTTTGCATAAGTTGAAGAAAATCTCCTATGTTTCCTAAAAATGCTTGGTATTGTTATACCCCTCTTTAATAATATTCGCCAAGAAAATTCTGACAATATAGCTGCAATATGACGCAAACTCTACAGTGTGGCGGTAAACATATTATCATATAATTGTGAGACACGAAAAACTGTCATCTCGAACAGCAGAACGAAACAGTCTTCTTTTGCTCGAAGAATCTTTTTCTTCTTACAATATAAAACACTTTGGCCCGAATCAAGTCCTAGCAGCTTCGTACAATCATCTAGATCAGGGGTCGGCAACCTTTTGGCGCTCGCGGGACAAAACTAAGGGTTGCAAGTCATTGGTGCATGGGCCGCACGAAAGGATGATACTTTTTATATTAAAAATCAAGCAGTGATACATCCCTCGAATAGAATATTGATTTATTTCCTCATTGCAATGCATCTCATAAAATTTCATTTGAATATTTTTGTCGCCATTGTGCCTTTTGCACTTAGCATCAACTTCTGCGTTTTGTTGCCGTTTGTCTAATTATAATTAAATTATAGGCTCATTAAACGAGTAATTGTGAATTATATACTAATTAGGTTATAATATAATTTAGTCTACACTTGTCTCACAACAAATTATGTTACGTAAAGAATATAATCATCAAATAGCTATTTTGTTACTATAATTCAGTGAAGCGTCGCGGGCCGGATTATATTCCTCCGCGAGCCTAAGTTGCCGATGCTAGATTTTAGATGACACCCGTAGACACCCGTAGTTATTCATAGCAAATAAAAATACTGGACACACATTCGAATCACACAAATGAATATATATTTGCTTGATTCATCACCCGGAACGAAAATGAAAATAAGTAAACTTTAATTCTGTTATCTGATATTAGGTAGCTGCACAGCGTCATTTAACATTGTATAACTTTATTATAAACGAGGTGGTGTATGTCTGAGGCAAATTTATTGAGTTTTTATACAAGTTATATAATTGTGAGATATATTTGTTTTGGTATAGGAAAAATTATGATAAATTGTATGTTTGTTTCACTCTTATTCCTATTTATTTGAGAAACAAACAACATTTTACAAAAATAAGAAATAAAAAATAGAAATAAAAAAAAAAAAAAAAAAAAAAAAAAAGAAATAAAAAAAAAAAAATGTTCAATTAAAACAGTATTTGAAGTCGACATAGTTGATTTTAATCAATGCTTTAACCAATGCTCCCATAAAAAGTATGACTTCTGCCTAGTTTGAAACTTTTTCTGCGAGTTTGAGCCACGGAGTCGTTGTCCATATTTAATATTCATAAATCGAAGTTCATTTTGCTGATCAAAGATATGATATACACGTTTCAAATTCTTTTTCTGCGCTTTGCTATTTTTTCTCCTTTTACAGCCGTGTATATATGTGGAAATTTTTCGTCGCTATTTGCTTCGTTTCCATTTGCCTTTAGTGTAATTATGTCATCGGCAAAAGAGTACACATTTCTTACATCTTCCCCATTTGCCAATGCGTATATATCATCTACAGTTCCATGCTCTTTCTCGGTACTAAAAGTAGGCGTCTCTAGATGAGTCATTATTGAGTGATGCTCATTTTTTTTTTGAAAATCCATAACTTTGACTGGACTTAACATATCTGGGGACAATTTCCCGACTTTTCGTGGTGATGTTTTAGGTTTTCTGACATGCGCGTAAATCGTTTCTTGATAATTTTTAACTCGATCTTTTACTGAGTTGGGACTTAGTTCAGGAAATTCCAATTTTTTGTTTTCACCAACAGCGACATTAGTTGAATATTTTTTAAAACATTTTTCTTGTCTCTGATTGTTCTGAAACGAATCAGTAGAAACAGCATCTTTATCAAGTTCACCTGGCAAATCATCAAATGCTTCGCCCTCTCTGTCCAGCAGTGCAGACCCATTTTGATTTTCAATTTTCCTTCTTCCATCAATAATGCAATCTTCTAGTATTACTTTTTTATTACTCTTCTTTGCTAACTCGACTTTTTTGTTACTCGACATTTCTACAATACCTCTTTCCACATCATATGATATTGTATCCAGAATTTCACTAATATCAGGCCTCGCTTCGTTATCTTTGTTGGCATCCACTTTATCGCTAGTATTCGATTCTTTCTCGTCGAACTCATTCACTGATACCTTTTCGCGTTCATCGAATGAATTGTTTTGCATTTTTACATGTTTTTCTGGGGGCTTCATTGGTCTGTATTTATCGATAACATGAGAGACGGTTTGCTGAGTTTGATATTCCGCCGCCTTTTTTACCCATTTATTTGTGATTTTTCCATCATTACCCTTGTGGTCGAATATAGAATATGAAACATTGTTTAGCGCAAAATAATGACGTTGGACATAACTAGACAGAGAAGACTGCTGTCGTTTTCTAAAGAAATGTGAAGCAATTTTATTTTATATTCGATGTAAATATCTGAGAGTTTAGGTGCTTGGCCATTATATTAAATACGTTATAATTGAATAAATTTACAAGGTGTTATTAATGGTTAATTAAATATGAGAAAAATGAATGATTTAATTGTAAAGCGGTCCGCTTTTCAAACATTCGAATCGTTAGATATTTTCAAATTATGCATTCTTATTGATTTTATATATTCCAATATGAAATTTTGATTATATGATTTTATATTTGTTACCTTTTATAAATAATCCGAACAAAAATTCCAGCAAAAGGTATCAACGCTATCAATAGTATCGGAATAACTATCCACGTAACTGGAAGTGTTCCATCTGTATCTTCTGAAACAGGTAGCAGCCTGGATATTGTATAATTGGAAAATCCAACCATTTGATCGGCTATGCACTTCTTTGAAGTTCATTTATATAAAATCACTTTACTCAAGTTGATCTATCAAATACATCAATGATACAATGAATTATACATAGTCTGATTAGATGTTATGTGCTCAAAGAAGGCGGGTAAAACTGAACATTGTTGCGAGATGAGAACTGAATTCGTTTTCAATTGTCTACTGATCATACTCTTCACTCTATGCAGACAAAGTTAGAACGATTCGCCTGTATCTCGGGATTCAACTTCGACATTTCTATGCATTTTACACTGATTGCAAAAAGCGATTTTTTTTGTCTCAGGCGATACAGTCTTTTTAGTAATTCAAAATTATTTTCAGCATGGTTTTAAATCGACTCAAACCAAGCGAGAAAATGAAATACGTGGCACATTGAATAACATTGTGTTGTTACATATTATGATGACAACGGCAACATACGATACAATAAATGATGTATTGAAATAATAATTGTGAATAATACAAGCCGATTCACTAATTTGATGACATACATGGCATAGTTACAAATGAACGACGTGATCTTCTCGTGATATTTAGCGATGTGCTCTGTCATTTTATTTTGTCAAAGCACAAGAATGCGTCATCAATGCTACTTACAAAGATTCATTAAATAGCATAGGATTTATCTGTTATCATACATCAAAACCAACTGTTATATTTCAATTTGAATTGCAAGTTTTTAGTGAAAAAAAGAATTTAATAGAGATACTATTTTTGCAATAAATTAACAAATGTTCCAGTAATACTAGTCTAGATCTACTCTCATATAAATTGAATATGCATTTTGCAAGTAGAGCAAATACGTTGTCTTACGTTGTCTTTTCAAACCAGGAAATGATGCCTCATTATTTATTATCATAGGCTCATTATGATGAATCTTATGTTCGTTCTACTTTGTAACTAGGCTGCAGCCTTACATGTAAAAGGGTATTCAGATTTAAAGGCCTATTTACCGTAGCGCAATATTTCTTTTCTTGATAGATTTAAATTTGGGTAAAATCCTCTAGTATTACTTTGTGATGTGGCCAAACGACATGTTGGTTTTTCGATTCGTAATGTTGGTGGCTGTGAGTACTATAGCTTTAGTAGAAAATAAAGTTGATGCTGAATGTGAAGGTATGTTGTCAAATTATAATAAAAATGTTTCTCGATATGACTATTACGAGATTATACTAGAACACCAAACTATCACTGCACAACCGATTTAATCCAAATCGAACTTTACATTAAACATGATAAAACTTCATACGGTGGGGTATCTGAGGAAAGATTTAAAAATAAAAATCCCTTTTCTTTGCAGATCACCGTATCGGAACGAGCGATTCAAAAATTTCTCTAGATGGGTCATGCGATGATGAACATTGCAAGGACTTTATTTTCAACAAGGTATATGATATCATGCAAAATATACAGAGATAACATAATCATTAATTATGACGCATGCCACAAAGGCAGCATTCGACCTGAAAAAAATGATTCGAATCGCACCTAGGAAGCGCGCATTTATAGTATTATAAATCTGGGGCAATGTGGCATACAACCATTGCAGAAATGAAATGCTAATTATTTACAAAAATTCTAATACTTAAGAATATGAACAACTCAGTCGGTGTTGCCAGAAGAATAACGTAGATATTAATATTTAAAAAGGGTGATAATCTCAAAAACTTGTGAAAAAAACGATACAAAAAAATTAAGAGGTTGTATGTCTACACAATCTTTCCGAAATACCCGCATGCAAATCGAGATCTGATTTCTCAGACCTACTCAGAGAATTGGAAATGAATAAAGCAACACATGGATCACTCTAAAAAATATCTGAATTTTTTTTATATCGGCCAATACCGATGATGACGATAATTAAATAATCATTATGTTTATATCATTACAGGACAACTTGGATGGTAGGATATATTTTACTATTACATATTTGTTGTAGGTAGAATAAACACTAGTGTATATTTCCTGTCACACTATTCGATATGAACTTAGGTACCTATTGAGCAAATTGCGGAATTTTAATATGAAAAGAGAGCCATATCGCATTCTACAAGTTTCAATCTGGTTGGGTTGAGTCATGTCCCAAACTAAATGACTTGTTAAATGACGAATTTAGTGGCAATTTATATCCTTTTCCAGTTTTTAGTCTGTACTTTTTTGACTTTTGTGGTTTTCTATTACGTTTAATTTTTATATAAATTTAAAATATGTAATATAATAATGGAGGATCTATCTCAAATAGCGTGGCTAAAAATATTCGTGTTGGTTACTGTTGAATGTGAGGGAATAATATATATCAGTTTGGAACCATTGATTAGAAAAATTTCAAAGAGTGCAAAAAGGCAGCTATTTTATAATTTTCAGCGAATATTATATAATTATTCCTACATAGATCTTGAAAAATATATCTACGATTTCGTACAAGAAAGGCTTTCACGATCAAGTCAAATCGTAAATCATCTTCAAATCGCGACCTCTAGCGACATCACAACCGATCGTGATACAACGCCTTCATTGACAACGGAACCGCCTGAGATAACTTTACCAATCACGGACAATCAGTCTGACTCCCCCAGTGCGAGCAAAGGCACAACTCTAGCCGGCAACATCACCACACAAGGAGATCCCTTGGTGTTGAAAGGCAGGTGTATTTTTTGATATCTTAGAATAGCAATACATTAAAAAAAATGCTCATTTATACTTAGCTATTGTACTTGAACATCTTTACGGATGTTGTTGATATGATAACCAATACGTTATTTTCAATCTTTTCTAATCTTCCGTTTTGATAAGTTGTATTACAAAACTGCATTGAAAATAAAATTATTATGACCCATCACATTTAAAAAACATCAAATGTATAAGATAGTTTGACAGTCTTGAACTTGTCGTTTATTGTAACAAACACTTTTTTCACGAATTTTAGGTTGTCCCCAATCAAACTATGGGTTCAGTTCGTTAGACAAACAGTACATTGTTGTCAACATTTCTATACCAGACCTAGATGAAGTATCAATATGTGCGCGGGTTCGACCTATGGGAGGGAATCCACTAAACGGTGCTATATTAAGTTATTCCAACGAGGACGAGGGAGATAAAGCAATGTGGTTGGCTTTTGAAGATGACGGGACAAAATTGCATGTGCATGGAAACAGTCATATCGCTCACTTTAATATATCGAACACCACTTACTCGAGTCATATTTGCTTCCTCGTTGAGAAAGACATTGTGTGGCTGTACCAAAATTCGACCACAGCCTCGTCAAATAATTTGGCTGGTATCATAAAAGGAAGAGGAACCTTGGTCATCGGTCAAAAACAAAAAGGCAAAAATCCACTCAATTTTAAGACCGACAAAGCGTTCAGCGGCATAATTGAAAATCTGATGATGTGGAATCGCACTCTTACACATGATGAAATGGATGCAATGTATGAGAATAAATGCAACTGTGCTTCTGACTACTTTGTCGCATTAACACGTGAGAACGTCGTCATCCATGGAGAAATTGCAATTGGTGAAACAGAAAATTGCTGATTCGTATCTTAAAATCGATCAGTGAGGTAAAGCAATACAAAACATTTATGAAATAGATTCCGAGAAATATTTAGTTAATTTAAATTAGCTGAATAATTGTCAAACTTTAATTACATATTTTCTTCACAAAATTGTGCATGTCATTAAATTGACAGTATGATAAATTTCATAAATTTCACATTGAGATTTGCGTCTCACGCTGAACATTTAAGAGATTTATGTCTTAGTGGAATATGTATTTTATATTTGTACCATTGTCTACTTTTCTTTTGATATCTGGCTAAAACTATCTAATTTTTTTTTGAATTTATCTATGAAAATGTATAATATTATCGTGCAAAATTTTTTTCTGAAATTGAATATATATAGATATATCAACGATTACAATGTGGGACACTTTTTTTTAAATAAGTCAAAAATGGTCAACAACAATATCAATGAATTTCAAAGGTTTACTTCGTGTCCAATAAAGAAAGCTTCATACATTAGTCGAATTTCATTCGTCAAAATCCTTGCAATTGGTAATTTCATGTTCATTATATCATTATTCCCGACTAATAAAGGCGACTCCTAATGATATTTGATGCAATAAACCACGAAAAACTATAAAATTGCTATCAATGTTCCCAGGTACTCAGAGTCGAAAGTAGGTGCAGGAATATTAGATGTAACCGCTATGCACAAGAGATAAATAAAAATATATTGTACGATAGAGACATCTACATTGTAAGAGAAACATCTAGGCGTGAGAAAATTTCCCTAAATAAAACTCTTTCTGAAAAAATATTAGCAATGGGATGATCGAAATAAAATAAATAAAATGTAATGATATTTTATTATATTTGCAATTGTTTTGAAGGCGGGGGCCCGTAGCAATGATGCTCACATAAAATTGGTATTGTACGCAGAACTGCATCAAAATTACACACTATGATCTATATTGTTAATGGAGACAGGTGGTTACACAACTACAAAACTAAACAGCATAAGAGAAAATCTAATTCCAAGTCGAGATATACAGCTGATAACAGAGTTGTAAATTCAATACAGTGTCAGCAGTTATAACCAATGTTCTGAATCGTCAATTGAGTATGATGTATTATTTTGGGTGACCGTACATTTGAACCCATGTACATTTGAACCCATGCGTATATCCACGGGTTCAATCTATATGCGGATGCTAAAACCCATGGGTTAGGGTTAGTATGGGTTTAACTATCCGTGAAACAAAAAAAATTCCATAGGTGCAATAGCATACAGGTGCAATTGTCATGGGTTCAAATGTACGTGGGTTCAAATGTAATGGAACCATTATTTTGTTGTTGAGTACAGTTGTCCTAGGTCGTACAACGACGATGGTAAAGGTGTACCCTACATGGTTTAAACTGAAACTATTCTCCAAATCCTTTGTCGGAAACTTCTATGAATACAAATTAGGAAAGCTGTTGTCGGTATGTCACTTCTTTATTAGCAGCCTGGCATTGTACTTCATTGAACAGTATTAATCAAACAAATTATATAATATATTAACAAGGCATGAAAATTTCCTAGTCGTGCGTGAATTAGAATAAATTATATCAAGGTTTGAAGTATTAGCAGTTTAAATTTGCGGGATGGAATCGTTTGGCATCGTTTTATTTTAATATTTTGAGGAAAATTTTGTAACAATTTTGTAACAATCTGCCAAAATAGACGAATAATCTCGAAATAGTAATTACAGATGAAATAGGATGGAACTGGAAGTAGCAGGCGGGATTGCGCAAAAGGCATAGTAGAATACAATGAGGTGAAAGTAACGATACGACATAAAGAGTTATATTGGTGCTTTAAGACGCTTAAAATATGAAGTTGGGTAGTCATTTACCGCTCTAAAAATTATCATGTAATTATTTTTATCTAACTCAATCAGGGGTAAAATGGGATATGCGATCACACCAGGTTTCAAATTCATAGAAACCGGCACTAAACATCGACACCTTGCCTGAGAACAAAGACCTGCCCTCATTTTATTTATTTATTGATATTGGGATAATGTGAAATGTTCGCCACAAATTAGTAAGCATTTCTGAACATTTTGCAAAGTGCGCAGTGCAAAAATTGAATACAAAAATGTTGTTGATAATGACACAATTCCCACTGGCTTGTTGTTACCACTTGTGCCACGAAAGTCACCACGATTATGATCGGCGGATGTATAAACTTTTCGAACGTAATGTAAAACAAGTGACATGTTTATGATAAAGGTATAATGTTCTAATAAAAATGTTCAAGATAAAAGCCGTATAACTCACAATAAAGCAGCCTTATAAAACAATGTAGATATAAAGCACGATTTGTGTTCTTACGCCCAAGGCAATAATGTGACACCACGATAAAAATGCAACGAAAGGTTATATAGATATAAACTGATAGGATGAAAGTACGATAAAATATTTGCGAAATTGTTGTATCGAAGAGCTTGTTGAGTTACTTAGGTCAAATAATTGTAAATGCGTGTTAGAAGACTGATAGGCAAGAGGTTTTATTTCCTCCATCGAGTATACTAAAAATTTTAATCTCAAGTAACAGCTCCGATTCCCCTTTATTGCGAGTGTTGTTACACCGCAGTAGCATTAAAAGTGTGGAATAAAACATAAGGTGTAAGCAAAAGATCCCTATCGTTGACCCATAAGATGCGTCCTCGTGTCCATTTGTTGTAAAACCAGTCACTGTTGGTTTGTTTAATTATGTTAGAGAGTAATATTTTATGTGACAAGGTGAGCTTCTACGTAGATAAATTTTGTGCGTTTTACAGTAAATCAAATTCATCCAAATAATAACCATGAAAGCTGCCGCAGCGCTATTAGTGGTAATGATGTTGAAGTTGATGTCTAATAAAGTGAGCATGAAACCTACTGGCGAAGACATGGATGGTGAAGTCGATATGGATAAAGACATGTCGATGAGTTTTGAAAAGAATAATGTGAGATAAAGTGATATTGTTGAAGCAAACACTAGACTAGATCATTACAAGAAAAATATTTGAACACGAAGATAACATGACTAATATTGTATTGTCACCACAATATCAGCAGAATTCCAGCCAAATTTTAAAAAAATTGTATCGAATGTCATATCAAGTTACGTTATAAAACACAAGAATTACCAAATCCCTTGAGCATCTGAGAAAATATTTAAAAAATCGATGGCCTGAAACATAGTATTAGCTTTCTGGTAACTTCCATATTAAATGTATCAATATATTTATCAACAAAAATTCAATAAAATGATTCATAGGTGCACTTTCGAAAACTGGCCTAGGACAGAGTTTTTATTCAAATCTGGAAAAAGCAAAATGTGCTAATTTCCTACATTTTCATACTTTTTTAGCACAATTGTTTGGAGATTCGAATTTAGTTCCTAGCGTATTAAGATTCATTCAGTTATATTTACAATTCGTCTTGCAGATGAAGGCAGATGAAGCTGGCGTGATCAATCGAGGCTGTGCTGGAGAAATTGAGGAGTACAATGAGGTTAGACATACAAACAAATTTTGTTCTGGTTTATGTTAATCAGTAAAAAAAAATTACTTTTCCGTGATCAGGACTTCCGTAAAAAAACAATATATCAAAAATAAATTAATTCATATTATTACACGTTGAATGATGGGGGCTCCAGAAGTGTGTGTACCAATATGGAGGTAACTAATTTTGTTCGCCTACTTTACATCAAGTTGTGGAAAGGGACGGAAGCCTACGGGAAGGGGATATATTCACTTGGCTAACACAAACAGTCCCCAAACTCATAATAGAACAAACATAAGGAAATTCGGAATAAAAGTATGGCCTAACCCTAACCTGGTACACATACTACGGGAGTACCCGATGTAGTGGTATCCTTGCATTAAACTAATGGAGTCAAACGAGATTTATTACCTGTTTATTGTAAACTAATTTAGAACGATAGCTACGATATAATCGATGGACTTTAATATTGCAACTTTAAAACTCATTATTGAAAGCTCTTGAAGTTTATCGATTTCAATGCTGGCTCTAAATTTTATGTTTTACTTTTTCAGATGATGTCCAAAGGAAGTAAGAAATATTTTTTTTTATGATGAAATATTTGCCATTATGCAATTATAGTAATCACCGAAGCCTCAGATTAGAGGTTCCAATAGAGAGAATTAAGAGGTAGATAAAACGAATAAGAATTTACCCATCCCAAGACGATATAAGGTTGATTAGAACAATTTCTAAAAAGGCAGCTAAAATGATTGAGATGTACTTTATATAGAAAATATGTTCATTACTACTATTTGAAAATTTGATACATTTTCGAGTTCTAGTACTTATAATTCATGTTGTAAATTTGAAGAAACATCCATGCGTTATTTCCAAACTATTCAACCACTAGCTATTGCAATCTGTCGATTTTATCTGCAATTAATCATAGCAAGCCCGCCTGCGGCAACGTTGACAAACAACAAGAATACTTCTGCCACGAGTTATCATTAATTATTACGTTGCCGTCGGGGGTGATCAAAATGATCTGCTGTAAATCAGTATATTTATTTTCACATTAAATCAATGATCATTTTTCGCTATCTATTTAATGTTTCTGTTCAGTACAAAGCCTGTCTTATGATGATTTGTACGATCTTCTCAAATACAACCGAACTGATTTTGTTCTTGTTGATGTAAGAACACCACAAGAGTTTGCTGATGGTCACATACCAGCATCTTTCCTCGTTACCATCACGAACGGTGAGTAAAAAGAGAGATAAAAGATACAGTAAATACAGTTTTTACCGTACAACCGAAGCAATCATGTCATCCCAGTACTTTTATTTTAAAAGCAATCATATTGTCAAATTTGCGCAAAACATGTTCGATTTATATATAGTCTCAAAATACATCAAAAGAGATTTAGACACAATAAAAAGTTCTAAAGTGTGTGAAACATATTACGCTATATATGTTGTAGGAAAATTCGAAGAACACGTGGACTTTCGTCAAATTTTGTGCGGCAGAAAGTTTATAGTTCTCTACTGTAGATCTGGAAGAAGAGCTCTCGTCGCTGCTAACTTGTTGAAGTCGAAAGTGCCGTGAGTCATTATTTTTTTAAACTGATTGCACGCACGCCTTCATGTTTTCTGTAATGTCCGTATCTATAAGGAGATATTTTGATGGGCAATTTCTTTATGTGCGTGTGGTACTACGGTACTTATTTGAAGAATGGAGTCACGCATTTTGCTAAATGGGTCGAAATAATTTTTCTATCACGAAAGACGATCATATTTTAGAGACATAAGAGACTGAAAATTTCGATAACAATATAAACTTATTTATTCCTTTAATATTCAAAAGTATGTTTCTAAATATTCCAGAACAAAGCTGTACTCCGGTTCGTGGATTGAATGGAGCACTGAGAATCCTAAAAATATCGTACCGTACGTGAGGAAACGAATGTAACTCTAGCTCATAAAGTTTGAGCAGAATACTCAAATTTTTATTGCAGTATCTTACAGTCGTGTATATATGATTAAAACACCAGATACAAAGAATCACCAAAAGCAAATTGAGGATAATTATGAGTGGTATATATAGTTGTGTATTGTTGAACTTTAAAAAAAACTAATGCAATTGAAGCCATATATATCCAACTACAAATATATTATCATCTTCTAGCGTATTTCGAATTTTCAAAAGAAAAGCTTTAATCAGAGAAATTTAACATATTCGAAAATTTATTATTTTTTAGTATTGGTTTTCACTATGTCGCTGTCGCCTTCAGTAGGCATTTCTGATGTGGTTTCTGTTATGTAAATTAGTGGGCACATCATATCAGATGTATTGTGGGTGTCGGAATGTGGGATGCAGTATAACTACCTAAAACCAATACCTAAATATATAAAACAAATCTGTTTATACAAACAGGTGAGATCAAGGTAAATTAGATGTAATTATTATAGCAGTTTTTATGACTCCGAAACAAAAGATAGGGTATTTTCAGGTTTGGTTTTTCAAATTTTAAAATATAAAATTAAATCGACTTTATGTGAAATAGCAAGCGTCCAAAATTGTAAAATATATATATAGAATCAAATTCATCAAAAAAAATTTCCGTGATAACACACCTTTTGGCGAACGCCATAATAAACGCGAAAAACATGTTTGCGACTGTGTTGCGTCAACAATGCTGTTGATTGTTGGTCTATTTGAGGAAAAGCGTTTTTATCTTTCTCTCTCTAACGTATCTCATATTTTGGCCACATTAGAAAAAAGAATGTCAAGCTATATTCGCTTTAGTCTCAAGCTGACTTTCGTGTCTATTAACTTCTGTAAATTTTGAGCGTTTCAACACATATGGCGTTATAAGGTCATCGTTACGTGATCAACTGAATCCAAAAATTGTCGTAATTATTATAGGTCAATCTGGAGAAAGGCAATTTTGATGACTACAAAACGGTGTGGCTTAAACATATCGAGTCTCTGTGTGGACGGTGTGGTCGAGGATGTTAAAATCTTTGTAATTAGAAGATATCGTCACGCTAATAACCGAATTGCGTAAGTCGTTTTTGGCGATTTTGAGTTTTTTTTTATAAAATAGGTATTTATGTAATGCTGCGCACCTGTCTGTTAACTCAGATTTCATTTTATGAATTCCGAAACCCATAAAAATGGAGATTTAGTATGACATGCACATTTGTGCAATTGTTTCGTCATAATGAATTATCATTGTTAACGCATGACTATTGTGACAGTGCGCCATTATGACGTCACTTAACTGCGTCATACAAATTAACTTAAATCCGGCTACGATCAAAAAATTGAACCATGGCTATTGACTTTTATTGACTCTCAATGACATAACAATATCATTAGAAAGTTTTTTACGTTTTTCTCAAAACTGCTAAAAATGACTTACGCAATTCGGTTATTAGCGTGACGATATGATACATTACGTTCGTGGCCAACATACAGATATTTGAGATATAGTATATGATCAATATCATATTTTCACTAAATAATGTTTGTAGCTTTATAGAGGTGAACATACAAAACGGAGGCACCAATTGGTCAAAACAGAATTGAAAAAATCTTTTACATTTGGACAATATTGCGTTTGGGTCCATAATATGACGAATGTGTCTTCCATTAACTGTGTCATACTCAAACCTAAAAAAAAAATATAAACTTGCGGAACTGAGTTTACTGCACTGTATAATCTTCCATTCTGTTTGCGGCAATAACAAGTCCATGCAATCCAACTAATTCTCGTGCTAATTCAATCTACAAGATGCCTTTATTAAAGTCTTCTTTCAATTTGTCTTGGGCTTGTTTGCTTTTTAAATGAGATAAAAACTCAAATTTACCCACATTTGAGTGTAAATGTTACTTTCAAACTAAACTGTGGTATATCCTGGGGATACTTTTTTGTATAAAAAGCTTTTCGCGCTAAGTTAGCCAAAGTAATTAGTTTGTTGTTAGATTTAACAAATATTAGCTTGTTTTCTTTCACAACGACCAGAAGTGTAGAGTTAGGATTCATCCCCATGAAACTCAAAGAAAATGCATTCCCCTGATTCAAAACTATTTTTGTATGTTGGTGATGCTATAAATCCATTTACTGCAGATATATTTTAAATATTACGGTTACATTTCACATTTTTTGTCTGATATGCTGAAAAAAAATTAAAAAAAAAATTCAATTTTACATTCACACACACTAATTTTAATACTAAACCCACAAATATTTCAAATGCTAACCCATGTAAAGATAAACACAAATATTTGAACATAAAGGGAGATATTGTGTATAGCGATCTTTTAAAAAGTACAGTTACGTGGCATCTTCCGTCGAAAAAAAAATTGTTCTTTGTTATCTTCAATTAGTTAAATTTAGGTCAGAGTAATACAAAATGACTTACCAACAAATAAATATAAGAGTGGAATTTCCTCAGATATTCTCATGGTGGTCAGTCATAATAATTAACTTACACCGAAAGCACAATTAGAACAACTTGACTGAAAAAAAAGTAAATACATGCGAATTACGCGAATTTCGTTTACTCCAATTTTAATTAAATATATTGCGTTGAAGTCCGACTCTCAACAAAGAAATATAAATATATAATATTAAGGTTATCTGAGCCTAATTTATTCTGCTTAGACTGCAATACGATTTTGGTTCTTTGATAAGAATTCAATTTGAGAAGAAAACTGGACTCCCGGATGCCATTATTAATCAATTTCTTACTCTTTCATCCTTAATAATCCTGCACATGTTATGTTCATATCATAATCTCAACTATGCTGCGTCTTGATGATGACAAAAAATCATTAAGGATGAATTTTCCTTAGGAAAGTTTGCATAACGTTACTCCGAATTAAACTTTCACTGAACAGCTGGAGAAAATGGCACTAGTAAAATCCGATGACTGTTAGAATATAATCTGATAAGACGAAGAACATAATAAAAGACGTTTTATTGTTCCTACATGTTGATATTCGTCAGTCAGTACTAAATTGTGAATGATACAGCGATCCTTTCACGCTTAATTTCGTTACAACCTTGTTAAAAATATGCTCAGCAGCCAGACGTTAGTGAAGTCATGATCAAAGTTGCGACAGTCTTCCACTCAAATCTTTTAAAACAATAAAGGGACATTTTGGATTGTTTTGCTTAATTGTTTTTGTCGAAAGAAGAAATGGAATTTTTAAAAGTGTTCTCTTGGCCTCGATGTTTTACCCCGAATATTATTGATTAACAAAATGGCTCATGCAGTTAGATTTATTGCTGACCAACGTAGGCCATAACGTGCTCAACGAACGCCTTATTCATACCCGTGAAGTCATATTAAGATCATGGCACTTCATCTCCGTCTAAACATTGTCATTGTTGTTCGAACTGGCAAGTTTACAAATTAGTTGTGGGCAAGATTTCGAACTGACAACAGCAAGTAAAGTATTAGGTCTTGGCACAATTGTATTTTTAAACTATTCATTATTCGTGTTGAATTGCAGTAGTCTTAGAGCAGTGATTTCCAACCATTCTACCTTAGAGGACCGGTAACATCAAATCAAATGACCTCGCGGGCCGGCAACAAAATTTTGCTTAGGCCAAGGCTTATTGAACCTAGCAATGTTCAGCAACGATTGCAGCGTCTTGGTAAAGAGACGCCAAGTCGCACATTGTCCTTCCTAAAGCGCGCGGATTGGCAAACAGAATAAAAAAATCCGCTACATGAGATTTCGCATAGTCTCCGATTTAGTTATACAAAAATATAATGTCCATACAAAGCTTAGACGTGAAATGCTCTAAACTAAATCATGGAAATCAACTTTTTAGAGAAAAGGAGAGCATAAACATTAAACATATATATATATATATAATCTCACAACGTGGATTATCCACATCTTCATAGTAAAATTAAATCTATTGTTGAAATTTTCATAGATACATAATTTGAGTGCCATATGACAATCTCAAATGTTATACCTATATCTGAGTGAGCGTGATAATATTTCTGTAATGAATTTGAAACATTCATTTCTCTTCCACAAATCCTAAATGACCCCCTTGTCACAGTACCTCCGTCTACGTTGAAACAAATAATTCATATTTCAAATTTAAAAATCAGATTTTATTAGGATTGGCTCAATCTCGATTATTGTACAAAATAAAGATACTAAATTCTCACATCAAAAGTACTATTCTAAGAATCGAAGTTTCGCTAAGTTTAGAGAGACTATACATCGCAATTACTTTATTTATATACTTTCAAATACTTTTTACTTTATAAAAACTAAAAAATATCAAGATTGACGTAGAACAGAGGTAAATGCAAATTTAGATTGTTTAATATCAATATTCAACAAAATCAACGAAATATCCCATCAGTTTTGTACCATTTAAGCTGAAAGTTGAGCGTACTTCGACGAACAATGAGCGAAACCGAGTCAGGTTGGCTTTTATTATACATTGTGGTTGGTTGACATAGAACAGAGACAGACAATGCAAACTTAGCCTGTTTTGATATCAAAATTTAACAAAATCTCCGTCCGTTTTGCACCAATCAAACTGTAAGTTATGTAACATCTAAAGGTTTACGAATATGAAATATTAATATTTAATAATATTAATTTGTATTATTGACTGTTCCAAAAAAAAAATGAGATCTGAATAATGCACATTCAGATCAAGCGGTAAATTAAAAATTATTTTTCTACATTTGGAAACCAAATTTTCTTGTTATAGTGATATCATAAAAAGCCCAATACAGCAAAAACTTTTCGAGTGAACGCGTCCACTAAAACGTTGAATCACGGAATCCAATTTTATGAACGAAAGTTTTACAAATAAAAAGTAAAATTGGAATTAATAGCGTTATATATTAATTGGGAAAAGACGTTCACAACGTTCACATATCAACTTTAACAGCAGTTGGGTTCAACGCCTCGAGTTCCATCTTGTCTCCATATTCAGCCGCTCTTCTGCTAATGCCAGGCTCGCTCAATGAATTCTTGATTTTCTAAAACATAAAGTATTTATATTCAGTGCATGTCGCCTGAAAATAATGTGTCGGTTGCTTCCTGGTCCTAAATTTAGAGACTACTCTCTGTTATAATTTCTCATAGAATGGCCAAAAGCTGTGACTTTTTGAAAAATAATTTACAGAATGTTCATCCAACTGTGTTATCCCTACTCATAGATTTATCATTAGGTTAGACTTTCGTTAATAGACCTTTATTCAATACTTCGTCTGCCTGCTACATATTAGGCCAGCCGGTCCCAGAAGGTACGCCGCGGCGCACTAGTGTGCCGTGACGAGTTGCTAGGTGCGCCGCGAAAATTAACATAATTGTGATAAACATAACTGAAATATGATTGAATATTCTACGGATTGTATTTATTTTAAATGTTTAATTGTTTTTTCTTCCAAATGCTGTCTATATGAATCAATAAATTCATTTCCTCTTTCTATGTCGTTTACTTTTGTCTGTCTCTATTGTTACGTAACAATATAGGTACCCACTATTTGCTGGAATTTTGTGATCTGCAGTCCATTTATCTGCTGAATCGAGTTTAGCGAACATGAGGGATTTTTTTTAGCATTTCAAATGATATTACATAGACCCACATGTGTACAAACTTTAAAAAACACAAAGTACACATTAACGATCACAAAATAGAATTTTGTTTGAAAGCAGCATTTCTTTTTCGTGTAAGTGCGCCGTGATTTTTTTCCCTGGTAAAATGGCACCGCGCAAACAAAAAGTTTGGGAACCGCTGTATTAGGCGGTTTTTCATTCCGTGGAGCTTACTTGGACGAACAATGAGCGCGATATGAAGCAAAGCCAGAGTGGCTTTTCTGATATATTGTGCTGTGCATATGTTCCACTATTCTCACCTCAATCAGGTTTCTTCCATCAGCCCTCCATAAAACATAAACAATGGTTATTGGTATTGTCAACATGGAGGTTAAAGCAGTCATCCAACCGAATACATCCGCCCATACAGGATAAGTGTAAGATTTACCGTATTTTAGAGTTCGGTATGATGCGAGGGAGTAAATCATCAGAGTCTGAATATACAAACATTTGTGGTCAAGAATAAAATAATGTGATCTGGGGGCTCCCGAAGTATGCGAACCAAGATGGCGGACATCGGAATGTAATATGTGTACTAGGTTAGGGTTAGGCCATAATTTTAGGTATAAATACTACGGAAGGCTCTTGGCTAGTCTTCGAACTGATAATAGGACTAAAATAAGGAAAATTGGAAAAAAATTATCGCCTAACCCTAACCTGTTACCCATGTTACGTTCCGATGTCCGCCATCTTGGTTCGCATACTTCGGGAGCACCGTGATCTGTACAACTAAAAACGGAATTTTGACTCAGCATCAGCAAACTTATGTAAATAAATTATCTATCTATGACAAAATTGCAATCTGGCGTAATTTAAACATGTTTGTTTTCTGACTCTCATCATTACTTACCGTTGAAATCACAGGTCCAACATATTTACAACAAATTTTAAACCACAATCTTGGGATATCGAAACCTAACATTGATTTCATATTATCACAAAATCTGTCTGCTCCGTAAGCCCATCCTATAGCAATAAACTCGACGAGAGATATGAAGTACAAACACCAACCAGTGACTGCGTAAGTATTGAAGAGATTCAGAACGTACATTCCACCCTGCAAAGATTAGGAAATTCATTAATCGACACTAAATTAGCTATTCGCTCTTCCTGCGCAAATCCTACTTCAAGCTTACCCTGGTAACCATTGGAAGGCCAAGTATTAGAAGAATAACAGAAGCAACCGCCGTCCATATCTCACGTGCCCATTTAAATTTGAAACATTCTGGATATTGATCTTTCAAACACGACATGAGTGTTTCTTGGTAAACAAACTAAAAAGAATAATAGTAGCATATAAGAGGATAAAAAGAGAAACGACAATATTCGTTTTGTATTGTTGCCACAAGAATGTACTGAAATTTGTAGCGAATTGACGACATTCAACGGTATTTACGGGATCTATATTTATTTTTATCGTAAAGACCGCACAATACAATATATAAACTAAATTGCTGGCAACATTATTACTGAGAACTCTATTTTATGATTTGGAGACGGTCAATCTAGCACCATATTCCACATATCCAAATTCTGTTCCGACATATAAAACCTCCAGTCACATATACACGCGTTCTTGTCAGAGGAAATTAATTCAAAATACAAATGCAGCATTAAAATTTCTTTTCAGACGCCTCAATGTGTCCCGATTGCAAAGTTGCCATTAACCGTGATGCATTTCTAACTGAAAGTTAATTTTTCCCTGTAGTCAGAAGATAAAAACTCACCAAACTGTCGAATCCCAACAATAACAACATAATGAAGAACAAAGCACACCATAGTTGTGGTAGGGGTAATAATGACAGGGCTGTCGGATATGCAATATAAACAAGTCCTGGACCTGATTCTGCTACAGCATCAACGGTGGTATTCTGATGTAAACAAGAAAAATATATATATAATTTGGTCTGTTAGCGACGGCCAAAAATATTATTTTCAATTAAGCACACACACCTGTAAATTAAACGGTTTAAGTTATTCTTTGGCTTGAATTCCTTTATACTAGTTTTTCATGTTTTATTATCTGATATTTATTCAACATTGAGCAATTAGTGGAAATATTTCTGTACTATGCTGCGTCCAATCTTTATTTAAAGCTGGGTTAATTTAATTTTTACTTCGTAAATCAATCTGTTTGAACTACAGCTCGGAAAAGCACCATTGCTTTACTTTTGACTCAAAAGCTTTATAGTTTTACGAAGGCCGTTGGGCCACGACACGATAATCGGCTGTCAGGCTCGATCGAGTGTGTAACGTGAGATCTTTTGTTTATTTTAAAAAAATAAAAAAATGAATAAAACATAATACTAAATACACCACCTTGGCGTGAGCCAAAAATCCGAGAATTGAGAATGTTGCAAATCCGGAAAGAAAACTGACTCCGCCGTTGGCAAGAACAAGAATGACCGAATCCCTGGGTGAAATAATGTAGAAATGTAAATTAATGATCAAAATAATACTTCAATCATTGTTACATGTGATTTTTGTTTAGTTTTGATATCGCGCACGGTGCAATAATAAAAGATAAAGTTTGACCTCGTACATGCCTGGATGACAAAATTATCAATACTGAATTTTGCATCAGAATAATATGGAAAGAATAGTGATTTTCTCATAACACTACTTAATTATTACTAATTTATGGATGTTGATTTTCAAATATTAGGATACTTCAATTAAGTAAAAGTAGCGTAAAATAGCGCAACAATTCACTGAATTAATTTTAAAATTATACCTATTTTTTTACTTTTTTATTTTTATTTTTTACGTTTCTATATCAAATAAAATCAATTATTCACCTGTAAAAATTATGATTAAATTTGTTAAATTGGCTCAATGTTGCGATTCCTCCCCCACAAACTCCGAGTGAGAATAGAACTTGAGAAGCAGCGTCTGTCCATACCTGGAGGTATGGTTATATTTTGTTAGAGAGTACTATAGATAATTTTTGCAAATGGTATTGAATTGCTCTAAAACATCACTAACTCCTACTTATTTTGCTTTACGGCAAACTTCTTAAGTACTGGGGATGTCCTCAGTACTTTTCCGCTCTGTTACGTCATACAACGACTGTTTATATTGCGGAAACGCAAAATGACTCAAACATTACGTGCTATGCCGTTTCAACAATAAATGTGTAATACTCTTCATTTTTTGTTTTCGAAAATTACCTCACAAAAATAAAGTACTAAAATTGTTTTCCTTAGAATTTTCGTTCGACTATGCTAAATTTAAAGGGTTTCTTGACCTTCTAAATAGGGCTCTTTTCATAGAGCGGCGTGATACAAAACCATTGTATACAGTTATAACTTATAAATCTCTAAGTTGCCACTAAATTCTTTGTTAGTTTGCCTGTGGTATCCTGATGAGTTGCCTATGTTTCTGAGTGCCTCTGAAGGTTCGGTGCAACTGTTTTATTTTAAAACCAAACCTTATCTTGGCAGGGAGGAAACTGGCGAAATGCCTCAATTATATCAAATTAAATGAAAATTCTAAGATTACGCAAATATCTACAAGACACTATAAATGCAAAAAGTGATTGATTACCCAATTTACACACTTGCATTTAAAAGTGTTTGACTGAAGTTCTTCTACAAGCATTTGGTTTATGTGGAGTATGCAAAATTATGCAAGTCTAAATGCTCATACAATCATTTGCCAAAATTTTACAATCACAAGAAGATCACAACTATATCGCTGCATTGCGAAACAGTAAATATGTGGCCATCGATCAAAATAGCATTCTGTTTGTTTGAATTTAGCATTCTGCTTGTTTAAATTTAAAAACAGTAGTCTTACTTCGACTTCTCCCAGTTTTGTGATATTTGGTTTCAGATAGACAGCTATTCCCGCTCCAGCTCCGTCAAGAGTCACACCACGCACAATCACCACGATTAACATGGCGATAGGAAGTGTGGCGGTGACGTAGACAATCTGTAATGAAAACAGGATACAAGGGATGTTGTCAACAGATTTTGTTTTGTATTTATACTAACGGTTATTTCGTTTTAGTTCAGGCACCGAATATGTAATTACCGGCTTGCTGTTACGCACGACACGGCGCCCGATGACGACACAGCACTTCAAGTCCTGCTGCTCTTCTTTTGATAGTACCCAAATTTTTAAAGTTTAGATATATCCCACCTCATTTTATACTGTATACGTAAATATTAAAATCGTTCCCGACTTACTGCAGCACTAACTTAAAAAGGCCTAATGATCAATCACAACGCTCTCGTCTACCTCTTTTGCCTGCGTTTATATGCCTATGTCCTAGAACGGCGATGACTTAGACTGGTTCAGAAAGACATGTTTATTTACTTGTTAAATGGAGCACAAAGTCAAAATCACAGACCACCTTAAACCGATCCAGGCTTTGTGGCTCTCATCGTACGTCATTTCGACAACACTCATTATCTTCCTATTGCAATTAGAAACATTAGTTGACATAAGGGGGGCATGTGGATTGTTGTTGTATTTGTGACAAAAATATGGTCATAGCGATCGTACCATTCTGATGCCACCTTCGTGATTAGATTTTAATCGGATTTCTTGTAATAAATTAAATTGTGAAAGACAAGTTGATGTCAGTTTCTACGACGTTCCCAGATGTTTTAAACAAGTATGTCAATGCGACCTAGTAATTATATATTTGGCCGGATCACTCGTGCATTACATGACATCATTCATTGCTATGTAAAATATCTTGTTGTGGTCAACTCAACGACAAGTGACTTGAAGATATCGAGGGCTGGTAATAATTATTCACCTGATAAATTGCTAATCCCTGCAATTTCATTGCGATCTTGCAAATAAAGCCAGTAACAATTTACATGATTATAGATAGCACTTCTCTTCTTTAAGTACATGTGAAAATTGTAAACGTGAATTATAAAATTGTAAAAAGTTTGAGGTTGAACCATTTAGAAATAACAATGTTCTACAATTCTATGTGATTAAATTTAACGATGTTCAGGTACAAGATATGCCAACATAAACCTAGTATGAAAAAATAATAAATAATTATATTTCAACAAGATGTTTGCAATAGCAACTTTTTAGAAATCTTCGCGACTTTTCATCAATATTTTGGAATTTAGAGTCTGGGATCGCGAATGACTAATTGCTAAATACTCTCGATTCAGCTATTTTAATCCATGAATTGACTGAATTATAAATGCTGACATTTTTACGTTAGTTCATGCCATACTCCTCTGTGACGTGTCATTGGATTGCAGGACATGCTTTAAACCAGTGGTTCTCAACCTTTTTTAGTTTGCGGACCGGTAATAATTTAAAACTAATTTTGCGAACCGGTGAACTTTCAAAATCAACCCAAAATGTCAAAAACACGAAACATAATTAAACGAATCCAGACAATTTAATTTAATGAGAAATTTGCTGCCGTCTTTTCGATATCATGCGTGTTAAAGAGGGTTCTAATGTAGTTTCTTTAAGGCGAGGTAGAGCGTTGACTTCCATACGATCTTGATGAGAAATAACGTTGAGAAGCTTTCCTTACATGGGAAAGTTGTACAACATATCAGCAGTAATTTAATGGCTTTGTCACTGATCTCAGGATATTCCTTTTCAAGCGATAACCAAAACTGTGAAAATGGCAAGTATTTATGCTTCGACATCGATCGCAGGAAAGCTCAATCATCGGTTCTTTCCCAACAGCGTTAAGATTTTACGAATTAATATCCTTTGCGAAAGGAATAACAATCGAAAGATTTGCTTAAATCACGGATGGCGAACCTTTTTCATTGAATGGGTCAAAAATTATATTTTTATCGCGGAACAGAAGAGAGTGGGTCACAGATATTTAATCAATGTTTGTATCTATAAGAAACTGCTGAAATCTTATGAGCTTCCGTTGGTGTTGGTGTAGTTTTGTGATTTACTTATGCAGCACTTTTATCAGGAATTTTTTATGGCACTCGATGTTGCTGGTATCATTGGGCCACCTTCAATTGTCGTGTAGTATAGCCCCACCCCCGTAAATTATTATCACCACATTAATTCAGCTTCCATCCACACCCTAAATCAGAATAGTGGAAAAACCAGCTGCGGAGCCTGTGGTGTCAACCTTAATTATACCGACTGAACAGATGATGCGACAACATCAAGAGTGTTAACGATTTGACACCTATGACGCACCATCTGTTCTGTCGAATATATAAGCCGATGGACTGAAAGGAGAAAAAAAGAGACATGGTTGACTTTCTGTGTGATTTGTATGATACTACTATTAATAAATATCTCAAGAACTTAAAACTGTGATACACCCTAAATCAGAATAGTGGAAAAACCAGCTGCGGAGCCTGTGGTGTCAACCTTAATTATACCGACTGAACAGATGATGCGACAACATCAAGAGTGTTAACGATTTGACACCTATGACGCACCATCTGTTCTGTCGAATATATAAGCCGAGGACTGAAAGGAGAGGAAAAGAGACATGGTTGACTTTCTGTGTGATTTGTATGATACTACTATTAATGAATATCTCAAGAACTTAAAACTGTGATACTGTACTCGAAGAGCTGAAGAAGTATATATAGCACACCGTACTACGACATTTATAAGGAAAGGAAGGAAGAATATTAATAGAGCCCCGGTACGGTCCCTGCATTTGGTGACCCCAGACAAAAAGAACCGCTATCTGATTAGAGTTAGATCGCATGATATTGATCAACAATTTCTGAATGGAGTCAACTACTTAAACAGCAAACAAGATTATTCGTTGTTCGATAAATAAAAAAAACAGAAATTGAGCGGTATCATCGATTGTTCCTGAAAACAATTAAACGGATATAAGTAACAGATTATTGAAACACTCGGAGCATAACAAAACTCAGAATAAAGTGAATTGCCATAAGAACATTAATTAAAGAACCAGTAATTTTTGGAAACGGATAATACAAAGACAACAGCAAGAAGAATATATATACGTGTATAGAACTGTTCAATAACCGGTACGTCTAATTTAATCATTATTTTTCCTTGTTCCATTCCGTTTAAATTTATTTGTATATATTATTAACTATTAGCCATCGATATGAACAATTTTCCTTTTAATATTCTTACTCCCTCAAAAAGGCAACGCAATAGATTTTTGTTACGTGATCCAGAATTGCCACAAGTGCATTTTATCAACCCCCGAGATGGACGCAATAGATATATTGCTAACAAAACAATTTCAGAACCCGTTTTATCTAGAACCCAGTCTAGAAACAGTCTTAATGGGATAAACCCTAATGAAATATTCGATAATGATTACCCGTATCCCACTCCAAACGACATTCAAAATAATACTGAAAGAAGTGCGTTAGCTCCTGACCAACCGCAAACGTCTCAACGCGTTAATGAAACAACAGATAATAATCGTCCGGAAATGGTTCCCCAAGTATATTCATCGCCCTGCGTTAATCCTGTGGAAACCAATGCCGTTCCTGAAACAGTTATACCTACAATAGATGAACCCCACATGAACACGGAAAGAATTCTTCACAGGCAAAATCCGAACGATCCGCATTTTCAGCCATACGCTCCAGCCCATATGTTCCAAACACCGTTCGTAATCACTGGCATCAAACAACCCATTCGACTTCCTAGCTTTTGGGAACACTCTGCCGACATGTGGTTTAAACGGGTCGAAAGCATTTTGGACAAAAATGAAATATTTGATGAAAAAGAACGTTGCGATGAGGTTATGACAGCGCTAAGTGACGAACAAGCACAACAGGTTTCTTTAGACATTTGTAATGCAGATCCAGAAAGACCATACACACAGTTGAAAGAAGCTCTTCTGAATACGTTCGCACCCTCCCAAGAACAGAGATTGAATGCGTTTTTCAATAACAGCAATTTAGGAGACAAAAAACCAACGGAATTACTTAAAAGAATGAAGTTTTTATTGGGTAATACCGAAGATCCAATAACGTTATCAATTCTTAAAAGAACATTCATTGAAAAACTGCCACCATATGTTCGGACAATTCTATCAAACAATTTGAATGATTCCATCGAAAATGTAGCAAAACGTGCTGATCAAATTTTGTCATCGGTGGAACCTGCAAACGATATGAATCAACCGACGACTAATCAAGTTATGAAAAACAAAATGCTCGAAAGTCAAATTCAAAATCTGACATATAAAATTAATAGTTTGACAACGAAATTAGAACAGGCCGAGTCACAACAGAATCGTCAAAATGGTCGTAGAAATTACAGTAGACCGAATCAAATCAGCAATTATCCGATGCCCTCCAACCCGAATCTACAATTGCCGTATCAACCTCACAGATCTCCTAACAATCACGGATATCGTCGCTACCAACGGAGGCAAGATGAGACCGGGAATTCTCTACGACCCCGATTCTTTTCTAACTTCTCCAGACCCCCGGATAATGGCATCTGCAGTTACCATGCTCGTTTTGGTGATCGGGCTAATAGATGTACCCAGCCATGTAATTTTCGGGGAAACGGACCAGCCGTACACCAACGCCGTTAAACGTGTCCGGCTTAACATCAACCCGCGGCCAATTCTTTGTATTCGATAGATCATTGCAAAAACATTTTTTAGTTGATTCTGGAGCAGAAATTAGCCTCATCCCAAGACGTTTGTGCCCCAAACCCGTTGCCAATACACAGATTATCACCGCTATCAACTCTTCTCCTATTAAGACCTATGGACATGTACAATTAACCCTACGTCTGCCAGGTCAGAAAGAAATTCTGTGGGAGTTTCTCGTAGCAGATGTTCCAATTCCGGTGATTGGTTCAGACTTAATGATTCATTTTGGTTGGACAATAAACTTCAAAAAACGGATAATTCAGAACTCCGTCGATGAAATCATTCCTGCAACACTATCTAGTTTTCCGCTTGCTTCAGCAATATTTAAATGGCAATGTCCAGTTTCCATGACTGA